GTGAAACAAGCGTAGCATAGTACCTGCTGCATTTCGAGGGATCAGTTTCTGCTGAAAAAAGACGACTATGAAACAAATTACTTACTTACCTTGGTCAGAAAGCATTTCTAATATGATGACAAAAAGCATCTACTTTTTGTACACTATTATCATCAGTAGCGTCACTAATTGATTACTGCTCTTACTTCCAAGTCTTCATTCCTTGCCTCTTTTTGCAGCATCTTCTGAATAATCCTGAGATTCATCCATTTCTATGCTCTCAACAGTTTCATATTCAGGAAAGTTTTCTACTGATAGTTAAAAATAACTTGTAAAGAAAAGAGATTAGAACGATTCGCAGTTAAAGCCTGCTTACTTGTACAGTAGAACTTACTGTGCTATTTCAACTTCTATCTCAAAAGTAACCAACCGATATTTTGTTTTCAAATCAACATTCTTTATCACTTACATCATAAAATACATGCAGAAGTAATGTTTTGAATAATATATATACAAAAATAATATGTTTTGCAAAGTTCAAGGTTCATAATTTAACGTTTTCCAAAACTTTTAGTTATTACTAAAATATATATTGATGTCTGATTTTAATGAGTCAATCATTGAAATTTTCAGTTTGGTTCATCATCCAAACTTTTCAAATCAAATGGTGACCAAGGATTGAAAGCATCACCGTGGGCATATGCTACAGGTGAAGTACCGTATTCAAAAGCACCGGAAAGTGGAAATCTTACTCCAATTCCATTTTCTCCTAATGGGATCGGGAAATCAACCCCACCGATGAAGAATGCATCATCACCTGAAATGAAACACTTGTAACAAATTTTATTGATTTAGTTTACGAAAAAAACTGCAATCTATTTTTATAGCTTGCTTTCAAATGCATGAGTGCTTTGTTGTTTTCGAATGACCACGTTATTTTGCATCTGAATACTGATACAAATTTTATACTGAGTTTTGTCTTAAATATATCATTTTTATATTATTTGACAGTTGTTCTAATATTGCAAATATAACTTGCGGAATTGAGTGAACTTATAGTATGGACAAAAATTTTTGGGCTTACTGAAAATTGGTGCAAAAATAAGTCTTATTATAAGAAATCAAACTGCATTATGAGAGATTTGTAAAAGGCGTTGACGATGAAAAAACCTTGTTCCACTTCTACAGCAACACCAGTATGGTGAACGAACGGATTACAGTACGGTGGTTTGCAACGGATTGGTTCATAACCGTATGGCAACCTTCCGACAACAACTTCTTTAGCTTTCTCTGAATGAATTCCATGTAAATTTTTTGGAAAATTGAAAAACGAAAATATTATGTACAAATTACTCAAAGCATTGATTTTATGAAAAGCTTTCAAGAAACTGTTTTCTCAACAAAAACCGATTCAATCCTATGTAGTCAACTTTGTGAATATGGCACTGTTTGCTGCATTAGATTTTTTTTCAGATAAAACTAAAGTTTGAACAATTAGTATTTACGTTTACTCTTTCAAAAGATATAAATGAAGCAGTAAATGCTGCTGGTAAAAAACTACCTGTATCAGAAAATCAGTTTTCAGTATGAAATTATACTTACAGCATCTTTCCACTTTCTCCCACAAAATTATTAATCTTTTTTGAAAGAAAGGTATTTCTCACTTTAAGAGTAAAAGTTGTTAGCAAGTACTACATCAGCAATCAATTTTCACGAAATGTGAAAAATAGAAAACTTTACACCTAAGTTTTCTGCTCATCTTAAAATTTAAATTTAATCCACTAATCGCACTATTTAATCTTAGCTTTTTGCTGTGAGGCTGACCAAAAATTTCGAGCTAACAACAAATATTAGCATACTGCGAGCTTTTCGAAAAGCTGGATTCTGACCAAGCAGTACGAGAGTCTCTGGTTTGATATTTAGATAATTAGTTGGCCTAGTTTGATAACCAACTTTGCTATCGACATTGATATGTCCAGTATACAAATTAGCGTCCAAATCCCAAATACCCCAACCAGGAATGGGAACATTGATATCACCTGCTAAGGACTACAAAGCGTATTATATTTTCTCATAACTGTCAACACTTCATAGCTGCTATATTTTCATATTTGCTAATTACTGTTTCATGAAACAGACTGATTATTTTATGTTGCAATTATTTCTCTATGAGAATTAGACGTAAATTATTGTAAGTTCGTCCCTACCAACAATGATAATGACTGTACTTTCAGCTATAAATATGAATAATGAAATAAACAGCACATTGATTAAGAATTATTAAAAAATACAAGGTACCACTTTATTGGCAGGATTGATCTCAACACCTGTATTGAATTGATTTGTAAATGGAAAGAGCGGAAATCTATCGGCCGAAACACTTTCTGGAAATGCTGCATCTGAACCGATATTTACTACTGTCGGTTCATTTCCGCCATATTTTTGTGCATCTCAAATACTTACACGTTTGCGTAAATAAAAGCACTTAAAAAGTATATTTAAAAAATTTTTTAATACATTAAAATGTGATTATCATAAATATTGCTATTGTTACTATGAATGCAAGAGCAATAATTAATATTGGCTGCGCATGGCACAACATTCTTGCTTTATTTCGAGTGAAAGCAAAAATATTCATTTTCATGTAAAGAGTAAATTCCAGCCAACATCAGAAACAATTCATTCATTTCATTTGAAAAAGTTTCAGCACTGAAGTTTTTGTAAGTTTAAATATGTCAAAAATGAAAGCTATTAGCAGCAATTATTCTCACAAAACTAGTAACCGCCGTTTCTTGATCAAAATTCGAGATTATGAACGGTACAGAACTTACTGAATGAGAAGAGCAATATAAGGAAAAGCAGGATTTTACTGAGATATTTATTTAAATTGAAAGAAAACTTTTCTGCAAGGTATTTTAACAAAATAAAAAACTTATATTACAGCATGTAATTGTCGCCAAAGACTGTACAGCAGTAAGAAATATCAAACGCACCATACTGTCCACACTATTACACAGATAAATCCCCAATGCCAAACTTCGATCAAATTTTAAGAAACCACATTTAGATCATTGTGCATCACCCTTCACTCAACTTTCAAATATAATTTAATGAGACTGTGATGATGAACTAATAATGGTGCAGCGACCAATTTATTAGAAATGATGTCGCCATTTCATTTTGCGCGCAATTTTAAGCAACCCTGCCACGGTGTTTCATGCATTGCAAAGTCCTGTTCATATTGACATGATCCATAAGCAATATTTTTCGTCATTTTCCATCACCTACTTGATCTCATCCAAGAGTAAAATTAATATTTGTTCTCAAGAAAAAACTAAACACTGAAACCGATGGCGGTCTAGACAGAAAAAGTGTTTCGAAGTGTATGAGTACTACTACTAGTGGTGACAATTTTTCACTGATGGATAACTAGACTGATACTTTCATACAGTTTCGAATATTTGTATTTTGTATAGGCGCTGCAATATGATTTGATAAAAAATTGACTTTGTCATCTTGATATCAAACTGCCATATATTGAAGATATTTAGTAGTATTCTTTGTATAGGTGTATGATGAAAAAGATCGGAATTAATGTCCTTTCAGATTTCTTATACATTTAACTTCAACAGAGCTGAACAATATGCAATAGTTTACTTAAAGAATGCAAAAACACACAGTGAAGTCATTATTTACAAAAGTAAGTACTTCTACTGACAACAATCATGGTACGTTGTTAGTACAATCGCTAAAGAAATGAGATTCAAATTCACGTGGTGCTTTCGACATCACCCTCACAGAATTTTCTAAATCAGCTTTATTTGCTCTAAAAGCGGCGAACTTTTGGTCTGAATACAGGTCCAATTTTTGAAGCAGGATAAGGACGTTTCCTGTAAAGTGCTTTTTAGACTTAATTAAACAAAGTGATCTTTCAAAATGCCAGCATACCTCTGCGTAATATCGGAAGTAAAACTTTTCCAGTTTGATGCTGTCGGTAAAGGCTAAAAAGTAGCACAAATAAATGTAAGTTATAATGCATAAGCACAACCTTAAGCAAATAACTAAAAAATTAATTTCAGTAGGTACCCTTACAGAATACTCTCAATTAACTTTCACTTGTTTTAACTTGCTCTAATTCAATAGTTTTAAAAAGATCGAAGATTTAAGATTACAATTAAAGTAAGCAAATTGACGATTAATTATCTGTACTGATATTACACAAATTTCAATTTCATTAAAAAATTTTCACACATTATACATATCATTACATGTTTTAATTTTTTAGTACAGATTTAATGCTTGATAATATGTGAAAAAACTTACACGACTTTTACTCTGCATGTGCAGTGGAGGAGAAACTGATCTGAAATTATCAATTTTAATTGCATTTATCGAAAAATAAAGAGTTGATTGATAATGGATTCCACAGCTAATTAAATCGTTTACAAGAGAAAAAGTTGAACTTTACATCTAAATCTCAAAACAGTGAATACATTTATAGTGCAGGAAACTTGAAATCAATAAAAGATAATGGAAAATTCAAAATTTGTTAATTTAACTGACTGAAACAAGCCTATCATTTACTGTGAATATTATGCTTATTTATCTAACAAAACCTCTTTGTTACTTGGGGTTTTAAGAAACATTAAAAATACCTTTGTGGAAATGATGCAGTTGGTAAGAATTCCTCATTTAATGCATTTAGATCAACGACAGATAAAGCTGAATTGTGGAGGAAATCGGTGTTACTGCTTAAATTTCCAAAGATAATAATCAAGCACAGCAGATGATAATCTTCCATATAAAAGTGAAGTAAAGAAATATCACGTCATTTCTAGTTTTAGCGATCAACGCTTTCATCCAGTAAAATGTCATAATAAAAACTCACAAATTCAAAAGATTTTTTAGCTGATGACTAGTCATTTGCTGACTATCGACTTGTTGCACACTAACCAAGTTTTCAGGCCATTCATAAGCTTCCAAGTCTTCTAATACGACTAAAACATATCCAATATTTGCCAAATTCTATGGTTCAAAAATGTCGAAAGATGAATGAAGTAAAAACCGTAATCAAAAAGAAACTAAAATAAACCATCCACAAAGTCGTCATGAATCGAAACATTTAAGAGTTCATCCAAAGTTAAGATCACATCTTGTGAGCACTCTGATTCCACTAGAAGACTGTTAAAACGCATTAGTGGGTGCTCTTCAGAACTGGCAGAAATTTGGGATTTGATTACAACAGACTTGACTGAATCCTGAACAATATTTATGAAGTTTTCGAGACTTTAAAAATCTAATAAAATACCATGATGAGTGAAATTTTATACTTGAAAAGCGAATAAAATTGGAAAAAGCAGAAGGAATTAAATTAATTAAAAGACCAAATAAATGAACTAAAAAACTTCAAAATAATTTACCGCAGTGAATGAACACTCTAAATGGAGTCAAATCAAATATAAAATGAATCACGCGGGAACATACGTTTTTTAAAATATCCCTGAAAAGTTCAGCAAGATGCGTTGCCACTTGTGAGAATAATTCTAAATCTGGTTCGCTCATGGTAATGAAACGATTTATAAAACGTAACACAGCACTTTCGTTAGAAATCAGTGCATTACTAATCTGAATTAAAAGCCTGTTTATAAACCACTACTTAGAATGGTCAAAGATGAATAACCAATATTAATATGTAGAAAACTTTTTCAGTTAATATTGAGTGGTATGTGGATAATGATCATTGCAATTTAAAGTCATTTTATGCTGCTTGAAAAATTAAAGATTATTAAAGCATTATTTTTTCCCATCAAACTAAACGATTGCAAAACTGCGAAACAACTGAACTTTTAGAAAACGAAAAACTGAAAAACTAAAACTCACTACAGCGCGTCCCAATTCTGAAGAACGTCCAATAATACAAATGCTTTTCAGCGCAAGAAGAACTGTTTCCTTGTTATGATGTATGTTTCCAAAATGTTCCACGAGGCTTTGACATACTACGATATACATATCACGAGGTAAGCAGTTATGTTTGATATCCGTTTCATTGTCAAAATAACAAATATTTTGAAAAAAATTCTGAAAAATTAAGCAAAATGAACTAGAAAAATAGCACATAACTTCATCAATAAGAAACTTAAAAAAAAAAGCTTTTGACATGATTAAATTAAAAACTACTAAAATCAAAATTTAATCAAGTTTAACTCTTCCAACGTTATATATAGTCGCGGAAAACTTTAAAATAATAATGACTAACTAGATTGGTCTTCAAAACAAGTTAATTGTCACTTAAGACACTTTAATTAATCAAATATTTTAAAGACTCACAATAACATATGTCTGGAACATAACATGAGGTAATGTTTTTCGACTGGCTAGTTTGAAAAATTTCAGCAGCGTTGAAATGTAGTTTCGGCGTTTTGAAATAACAGCAACTATCGCATCTCGAAGTATAAATTCTCCAGAACATACAGCTAGAAACGCATAGAATGAAGCCATAATACTATCGGCAGCACTACCAAACCGAATATCTGATTCTTCTTCGCTTAAATCATCTTTCATACCATCAATAACCATCGAACAGGCGGAAGATGTCAAAACTTTTGAACTTTGCTTTATAAGAATTCTAAAAAAAATCATTTTTTTGGTGGAAAAAACCGATCCAGACGAAGCGAATAGAAAATACAGAGACGGATTTACCAAACTGTTAATCACAAATACAAAATGCATTTCCGAAAATTTGAAAATGAAGAAGTAAAGAATTGAGTGTAATTTAAAAGCTACTAAAATTAAAATTTAATCAAATCTTTTAACTCTTCCAACACACTGCTAATGTGAAGTTTTCGTAACAGAAAATACTAACAAAACCTATAATATATAGCATAGGAAGGATTCATAATATTTAAAGTACTATATTAGTCAACTTACTCGGCTATAAGCAATGCATTATCCTCGGATAAATAGGCTAAACGTTTACATACATCGAATAAGCATTGCCTCAATCGTTGCGAAGATGCAGTTCCGAGCTATAACGATGGAGAATGAATTTATTTGCAAATACTGAATTGATAAGCACAATTTTGTTCTCAAATTAGATTGAACATCATTGCTTTAACATGAAAACTGAAACACATAGCAAAAACTACAATACTCAAGTTAAACAAAAACCGTGACTGCAAATTCCAGCTGAAAACTGCATTTTGAAATATTCGCATTCCACATTTTTTCCACATACATAATTTTTTTCATGTCCATGCCAGCTATATTTGCCAACAAATTCGAAGGAAGTGGGAGTAACTGTCGTAAAATGTCTAGTGTTGCTAAGAAATATGATGGATTTTCAAACCCACAAAACAAGAAAAATTCCAAGAACGGTTGCCGAGAACTTTTCTTTGTTCTGATCTGGCTGTTGCGAGTTTGACATATAAAAAGTGCGAAAGATTTCAGAACAATTTCTTTCACTCTCTGATCGCAACATGATTCATCTATACAACAGAGTGTATAAGTCCTCAACAACGTGTCCACTGTCAACTTATCTGGATACCAATTGATAATTTCTAAAGATGTCAATAATTTATACATAACACTAATCGCGGAACGAACAAACTGGCAATAAATATAGGAATCCCCCGTAAATGTCGTACATCGTTCCAAAATTCTTTTGCTCTGTTGATTGTTTGCTATCTGAAAGTGAAGAAATAACTCTTTTTTGAACATAAAATCTAGTTATTTGGTTTATTCAATATGACTACATAAAAACTCACAGATAATACATGTCTAATTCTATCGAATCCACCATTTTCATAGAATCTTCCATGAAAATCAAAACGGATCTCATCATATGAAAGATTGAAAGGTGCTTCCCTTTCAGGTTCATCAAAAATTGAATCAATTAACCGCAATAATGTTATCAATGGTAAAGGTGGATCACCTTCAATATATTTATCACCCTGATCGTTCAATCTATAATAATTTCACTGATGCTTCGAATATTTAAAAAACAAAGTTAAATGGTTTTTACAATGAAAAAATTTCCTTCAATCTTAATGCAGCATGTCATAACAGTAAACAAGTCCAAACTGTAGTGCTAATGAACAACCTTATTAAGAGAAGATTCAATGTGCTCATGCCTGTCCCAAGCATCAGTTCTTCTCGAAATGGTTCCAACCAATGTTTTAACGATGTAGCAGCTGAGATCAAGTTGCAGTCGATTAACTTACTAATTTTAGGGCCATTTTTTCTCCAGAATGTTCCACTAGACTGATTACGAGCTAATGAAAATAGAATTTCACACAGATATCCATAAACAGTAGTTTGCCTGAAGCGCATTTTCAACTCATCATCGATATAACCAGCACTCAAAAACATCGATTTCTGAACATCAAATATAAATAATAAATGCTTCAGATTATCTCGAAAAGACAGTGCAGAAATCAATGCCAAACGTCCTTCATGAAAATAGAGCATATACAACATGTTCTGCAATATATTTATACGCGCAGAAACATCGACTATGGAAGTAAACCTGAAAGTAATGCATTTAGGTACTTTCCAAAATTTTACTCAAGATAAACGATTGTATGCAAAATAATTCTGAAAGTTAGACTTTAATTTGAGAATTAAATCGTACTTATATTTAATATTTAAAAACATGCACTCAAAGATTAAGCCTTCAAATATAAAAAAGCATAATTTAAAAAGATGAATTCAAAAAGTATAATTAGAACGAAATCTGGATTTTTTTTCACACATTCACAATTTCAAAACTTTCTTCTCATTTACAGCAGCTAACTGATCAATTAGAACAATTGCGCGCAGTGCGAACGGTAACAATGAAACTTCGTTTTCTTCCTGAAGATGTTTTTATAATTACAAAACAATGTTTCATTAATTTTGAATAGTAATTAATATTTTATAAGCTTAGGAAGCAGATGAAATAAATTACCATAGCTTTAAAGCTGCCTCCATGACTAAGTAAAAAATTAATACCTAGAGAACGTACCGGAAAAAAAATTGAAATAAGTCAGTAAATTAAAATCACCGAGACTCGGTTAAGCATTCTTGCAACCAACGTTACGGTTTCTGCATCCATATATGCTAGAAAAAGAACTCCACTAATATCATCATTATTGAGATCACACAACATTCGGAGACATCGAACTGCCGAAAACCTTGTTCTTGCACTATGAGTAGGTGCAGCAATATGTGCACAGATATGAGGAATCAAACGACTGAAAACTGAATAAAATGAAAAATAAGGAAAAATCCTACTTCAAAATAAACGAAAGTCTCTAAAACAAACTTAAGCTACTTTTTTCCTTATACTACGAAATATGAAAATCCTGATTTTAAATTAACTGTAGTCGAAATGTAAAAAAGAGCTAAGTAAATGTACTCTTAACTACTTTTCATGCGCCAGTAAAGTAATCTTTCACAAAATGGTGGCTTTTTTACGTCAGAAAATTCATGATTTGAGTTTTTTATTGCAATTCTGACTACTTTTAATCTTGACATTTGAATTTCAAGCAAGATTTCTAGAATCTGATTTGAGCCAAATAAGATTTTTTACAACTTTACCTTTTAACAACAGCTTGATGTGCTATGCATGAAGTATAACCAAAATCATTCCTTATTTTTGAAAAAAAATCGTGCAAAATATCGAATGATGATATTAGCTGTGATATTTCTCCATCATTAGTACAAGTATCATCCACACAAAGTTTGCGAGCACAACTGACAACAATATCCGTGCTATGTTTAAATGAAAAATATGAGACAATATCTCGAAGAACCGCTAATAAATCTAATGAAACACCCTACAAAACACGAAATTTAAAACAAATAACATAACTTTTTTACACTTGCAATTCAGGAATTTTCTTCCTTTTCAAACTTAACGCTCTTTTTTGTCAACAATAAAAGAAGATCTAGGGAGAATGTAATAATACAGATACAATATTGTTCTGAAAACTTCTTTAAAAATTTCTTCATTACGAAAAAATTTTTACAGAAAAAATCTTCAAAACAACTTTACTGTTGTTAAAATTAAAAATCTGAAAAGATTATGAAGACAAACAAATATAAACCGTCGGGTTGATGAAGAAATCCACAATTTGTTCATACAAGTTATATTCTCTACTTCCTAGTTTTGTCAACATCAGTTTCCAAGATATCAAAGGATGAGAAAGAATTTTCAATAATGCTCGAGCTGCTCCACATCTAATTGATGAACAGTACAGCTTGGATGATATGATATTCATGATATGACGCAAATACTGGGGTTCCTAAAAAACCTTAATTCTACAAATTCATATTTGTGCACTACTGTCATAAGACCAAACACATAATGCGATTATTTAGGTATTTTATGAAATCGTAATCATGTGATTAACTTAATACATACACTGAATTTTATGCTCAGATTCTTATCGTGCATTGCTGATAGCTGTTCAACCAACTTACAACCAATTTTTACCATTTGGCTGTTTTCTACATAAGATGTATTTTCACTTGCGCTAAGTCCGAATTCAACCCATCTCACCAATTCAGTATCCATTTCACGAATTTTTTCTGCAATTTCATTATAAAAATATTGAAATTATAAAACACAAAACACATTATAAGCGGAAATTATTGTATACTTCCGACTCAAATTTATTTAAAAAACTTGGGATTAAAATTATATTCTAAATTCATGCACCTTGACAAGCAGCTTTGCTGTATATTCGTATACTACTTCGAATGGCTGGCAAAACAGTTTCCAATGAAATCATCCAGTCATCACTGAAAGTTTGATGCTATAACACAAAACCCCAAACTGGAAGGAAAAAGAAAAATCATTTTTATAATTTTTGAATACAACAAAAATCTTAATCATTCATTCACATAACTTGTGAACGCATGAGGTTGATAAAGATTGATGCGCTGGAAATTAAAGTGCAAAGTAATCAGCAAGCAAAACAAACAGGAGTTCTACAAGTGGCTTTGAGCAGAATGATTCTAAAGCACCACAAAAAAGTTCATACTCCAAATCGGTTGGTTTCGCATCTTCCTCGCCCATCCATGGATATTCCAAACTCTAAATATCAATCGTTCACATACCTTGATAAATCATGTGAATACAGGAACATCCCAGTACGATATTTTACAAATGACTGAAAATAGTAGTGAAAGTAAGAAAAAATAAAAATTCTAACTTCTGTTCACTTACCTGAATGACGACATTTTTGATTTGCTTTAAACAGACCAGAGGAAAATCACTGCCATCTTGGTTCTTCAAGATTTTCTTGCTCTCTTCCCGAAACATTGTTATAAATCACATTTGGCTTTAAAATTTGCTTTCTTGGGAAATTCTGCGATACAAAATAAACATTGAGAGATTGAAACTGTTCTGATTATGACCTAAAAAAATGATACACTCCACGTGACTTATTATAAAAGCAGCTTGTCAATATAAAAATTCAAAAGAAGCTAGTCCTAATCTCCAACTCTAACCTAAAAACGTTCGCAAGAATGCATTAACAATATAAGATTAAAAGCTATTCATAAGGTAAAATTCACAGTTTTCAAAGCGTCCCTCAAGAAGTGACACTCTGATGTATTATTTCAGAGCTAGATTTGTTCTTCCAAGTTAAATAATATTTATCTAGGATTAAGTCTTTAACAAAGAGGGGTTTTTCCGTATACATTTTTTCCAAATTGACGTGAGCAAACTCACGTCAAAAGTAACAAAAGAGCCCATATTTCTTTAAAAAGAAAAATTCGAACAAGTAAATTGAGACATTGCATAATGCTCTCGTAACGAATTTCTCAGTATCTGGCATGCTTCCAATCAAAAGTCCAATCAAATATTCTGAGGATTTCTACGTCACCGTATGGCGGAAAGTGGAAGATTTAATTCCGTTTAAGTGTAGTTTATGCATATATATTTGTTTAATTTTTGGAAAATTACCACATCTAGCAGGTTAGGAGCGAGTCAGTAGCGAATCTAGTCGCTTATTTGGAGGACGTGTGATTACATGCAGTGTGGAAAGGCGTAGAAAGTAATCGTTTCTATAGAAAGTAAAATACTTTCATATCTTTTAGACTCCATATTTTTTATTACCAAAAATTTTAAACACACGCAACTTTTCTACCACTGCTTTGTGTTTTTTGAATTAATGTTAGAAATGTATTTGACAATATTCAAAAAAGAAAAAAGTGGCTTTTGTCAAGGTTAATTTTGATTTTAAAAACGTCATTTATGGGTGGTATGTTCCAGAAAGACTAATACCACGTTTTACTTCATCATTTTTCTTTATATCATATAAGTCAGTGTTTGATTCGAAGTACATTGGTGACGATGTTTTTGCCATCATTTCATTTGTTCTAGAATGTTATATTACTTGCTTGTTAGTCTTGAACTGTATTGGATTGCAGGAGGATTGATGGCGAAGGTGAATAATAACTTGGGTCGTGGAATGATAAATCCTGTCGCTGGTACTTCAGAGATAAACGAAGATGCAGAAACTACTGGTGTGTTATTTCGTGAAATATTTGGTTTTTTTATTTAATTAAAAATCAGTTTGTTGAACGAAGTAAATGGAAGAAAAAATAAAGGCCAATAAATTTTTGTATAACTTGGAGACTGCAGATGTTTTGCTTTAAATGACTTGTCTGGAATAACATTTTGAAATATAATTCATCGTAAGGATAAAGAATATTTATGATTCTGCAAGAAAAGCTATAAGCTCTTAAATTATTAAATTTAGATATATGTCGAGTGTGCAGAAGTGCTGGTGACAGCGCCCTGTATTATCCCTGTCTGTGCACAGGAAGTATCAAATATGTTCATCAAGATTGTCTTTTAGAATGGCTTAAGTATAGCAAAAAGGAAGTTTGTGAATTATGCAGCCATAAATATTCCTTTCAGCCTATTTATCGATCGGATATGCCTCAAACATTACCACTCTCAGAAATTATTCGAGGTTCATATCTTACTTAATTTCAGATTTGGGTTCCTCCAATTGTAAAATTGTGCCAGTGTCTGCATGTTTACGCAGTGTAGTATATTTGATATAGGCAGAGATATTTTTATTCTTTCAAAATCAGTTTCAGGGGTTTTGCTTAATATGGGACGCATATTACGTTCGTGGACGATTTATACACTTGTATTAATTGCTTGGTTGGGTATTGTACCAATAACAGCTTGTCGCATATACAGAATGGTGTTTTCAGCTTCTTTGTCTAGTGTGCTCTCTTCGCCTTTTCAGCTATTTTCTATAGAAAATTTGTTCATCGATTGTATTAAAGTGAGTAATTTATCGATAAGTGGAATTGTACCATCTAGTCTTGTAAGGAATAAATCAATTGAACTTTTGGATATTTTAGAATTAAAAAGTTTTCAAACTAGTACTCTTTGGCATTTAAAATTGAAAGAGCATCTATAAATTAAATGTACGCAGTTTGAATTCTAGTACTAAAATTTCTGGAAAGTTTGATCTTGACTGCTCTATTTCTTCTGATAGTAAAATTTTTTTTTCGAATTTTTGAAAGGAGCAGTTGACTGCTAAACTTCTTTAGTTACAGAATGTGCAAAAATGTAAAAATCGCTCACAAAAATCTAGTTAAATATTATCTAGTACATTTTGGTTTTATTCATTTTGCTTTGCTAATTTCAAAGCAAATGAATAAAACCAGAATGTATTAGATAATATTTAACTAGATAGTATATTACAAATTGAATAATTTTTAGGGTTGCTTTATTGTTTCAATTTTCCTTTGTGCTTTTATTTCACTTGTGTGGCTTCGCGAGCAAATTATTCATGGCGGTCCTCAAGAATGGTTAAATATAGAAATTCCAGCTGTGGGTGGAAATGCAGAAAATGTACCAGATAATAATAACGATCTCTTGGTTATTTACGTTCTTAATATCCACCTTCACTTTTATAGCAGAATTTTCGACATGCATTCAACAAAGTGCAAATAAGTATATCTATTAAAAGAACTATAGCTATTTCATTGACTTTAGCGTGGAAATTTTTTTAGGCTGCAGATGAAGAAGCTGAGATTGGTGATAACGATGATGTTGATGGTGAAGAAGCTGTGAATGGCAGACATGAGCTAGTTGTGGAACAAGAACAAGAAGGTATAGCTGTTCAGGATCAACCAGAAAATGACAACTGGCGAGAATGGGAACGAGTCGCTGACGAACTAACTTGGCAAAGACTTCTCGGCTTGGATGGTTCCTTACTGTTTTTAGAACACGTTTTCTGGGTCATATCTCTAAACACTTTATTCACAGTGTTGTTCGGTAAGCCTTTCGAGTTTTAGTTGCATAATTTTTGGTTACAAAGAAAAGGTTTTCAGTAACATAATTATTATTACGGTGATTTTCAGCATTTCTGCCTTACCAACTCGGTCATTTTTTTCTCAAGACTCTTGGATTGGCGTCACAAATTTCGTATTTTCCCACTCTTACATCTGTACTTTTGGGTTACTTTATTCTTAGCTTGATTGTTCGCTGTCTTCATCTCACAGCCAGAATCTCCAAATTAGCTCCGTAAGTTTCTGGAAAAAATAATCTTCAAAACAGGCCATAGAGTTATGTTAAAATGTATTCTAAATTTCGAAGAGCTCGGAAAATCCAATATTTATTTTATTATTCAGTGTATATCGAATACTGGGAATGTCCTATCTTATTCTTAAAGTTTTTCTCCTCGTATTAACGGAAATCGGTTTCTTTCCAATTATATGCGGTTGGTGGTTGGATATTTGTTCTTTGGTAAGTTTCACTTTTCAATAATTACAGAGTTTTATTTTTGAAAGAGCGTCAAGTGTATAAACGAAGAGAATATTTTGTATTGTATGTAGAAACATACTTATTTTCTCATATTTTATTTCATATTTTAATATCAAAAATATTCAGCCCCTATTTGCTTCAAGTCTGTCACGTCGAATTGCTTCCTTCACCTTGTCCCCGACATCATCACTTTTCATGCACTGGCTGATTGGTATGGTTTATGTTTTCTATTCTGCTTCATTTGTGCTTGTTTTGCGAGAAGTTCTTCGCCCAGGAGTTCTTTGGTTCTTGCGAAATCTGAATGATCCCGAATTTAATCCAATACAAGAGGTATGTGATATTCGTGTAAGCAAAATTTTTATTTTTTATCAGTTCTTCAGGTGTCTACATTTTAAACATATAAGCTAGAGTTTCTGAACTTAATTTAGTAAGTGTTATTATCAATAAATTCGTGTTTTTTCCATTTCTTTCTTAGTTGGAAATTTGAAGTTTATATCCAAATCTTTCAGATGATTGAACTTCCGGTTATACGCCATCTACGGCGTCTGATTGCATCAACATCAATTTTCTTTACAACAATTTTACTGGTAGTATATGTTCCACTTTGTTTCATAACGCGTTACCTACCATCTGTTCTACCATTCAATTTAAGCTTGGCTGCCGAAACTCCTCTTAGTGAACTGTCTTTGGAACTGCTTGTTCTGCAAGTAAGTACTTTATGTTTTGTTGCCCCTTAGTTATTTCCATCCTTAGCATTAATAAAGAAATCAAATTGTCACAGGTCGTACTCCCAGCATTACTAGAACAAACACATGCACGAACAATTCTGAAAACAATTGTGCGTTCTTGGTGTTGTCTTTTTGGACGACTGTTGCAATTGGAACATTATCTGTTACCAATGGAAGAAAATAGGAACGAAGGTCAGCAGCGAGCACGAGCTGAACCACTTGCTGGTCTTGGCCTTGCAGCACAGCATCAGGCATTGCTTCTAGTTCGAGAACCACAGGGTTTTCAAGCATATCGCAGACCATCACATTTTTCACTTCGAGTCATTGCTTTACTTATAGCTCTTTCATTCACATCAATGTTAGCAAGCATTGTGGTCTGTGTTGTACCGGGTTAGACTTTTCAAGTTTCTTCATTATCTTCATAGAATTTCACTGCATAAGATTTATTTAAATAAAGAAGAGCCATGTAATGCTCTGAGAGTATTTTTTATATTGCTGAGCCGATTAAAAGCATCTTAAATATTTTTCATACTTGATTTTCAAAGAGTGTTGTCAGAGTTAAACGAAAACAAGTTTTTTGTTAATCAAATTTCTGTCAAATATTCTGAAATGGCTATTATTTCGCATGTATCTATAAATGCAACTTGTTAACTTCTTCACAATAAAAACGTAACTTCTCTGCAGTCTTTGCACTAGTTTTGTATTTCTTATTATGAAATGTAATTGATTTCAGTGACATTTGGACGTTTTATTGTTCACAAAATATCAGGTCAAACGAATGTACATGACCTATATACGGTAGCAGCTGGATTGTATGGTTGTTGGATCCTCGTCAAATTTTTTTTCTTAGTTTTCGAATATGCACCCCAAGGAAAGCATTTCTTATTATCAGCTTTCCGTAACTTGGCATTAACAGCCGTTAAACTTTGCGCAGTATCTGTTCCAGTCCTAATAGTTATCCCATTTTTGGCTGGGATTTCGTTCCATCTTGCTGTAGTTAGTCCAATACGCATTGCTTCTCATCAAACATCGATTCTTTTTCCTTGGCAACACTGGGCAATGGGAATTCTACATTGTAAGATATTTTGCGCTGCAGTTATGATGGGACCTGAATGGTGGATGAAACATGTTTTCGAACAGGTAATAATGATATATCAATTTATTTGCCGCTGCTTTTCTTTACAGTGGGTTGAGATTTTATCTTTCATTTTTCACTCAAGACATTTCAACCGGAACATAAAATAATTTATTGTTCTGGCTGCAAATCGCTATTTCCTCAAAATCACTAATCATATTTTCATCTTTTTTCAGTTATATGCTGACGGTATTCGTGGTCTAAGAGTTCGTTATTTGTATAAACAACTAGTTATACCTATTTTTGCATGTTTAGCCATTCATCTTTCTGCTCCTCGCGTTATTTGTTCGTTAATTTCTTTGCTTCTCGATGTTTCTAACGAAGAACAAGTAATATTTTTACGCTATTCCTATCCATCCATATTACTCTGTGTTTTCTGCACCTATTTCGTTTATTGGCAGTGTTCGAAAATCAGAGCCTTGACAGAAAAAATACGAAATGATAAGTATGGTTTTCTACAACTTTTAAACTAGATGTTACTTTGTAGAAAATATGTAAAGGAAATATTGCATTCTGAATTGCAAATATTTCTGGATATTTTGAACAGTTTTGAAGGTAGTGGATTTGCGAAATATATTTTATAAAAAGTTGGTGCTAAACTTGTCAGACATTGGGCTTCACATATATTCTTTCTAGGTATTTAGTTGGAACTCAGTTGGTAAACTATGAAAGACAACAACTGGAAGCGAACCAGTAACTAAATTCTCCCAAATGGTGCGAGTTCCATAAGAATCTTGAGCAGCTTATCTAACACTGTGATTGTTGTGATGTAAAACGGAGTACATTTTAGCTCAGATCTTGTCACTTTGTTGCGCAATTGTTGGAAATAGATGTGACTGACCAGCCATCCAGTTAAAAATTATTCTAGACTCCATCTTGATATTCATTTCCCGATAGCAAAAAATGCACAATCATTACTTTATTATGATTGAAATGTCAAGTTTTTAAGTACTAGTTACGCCTCATTATTGCCTGTAGAGACTGAATCTTGTCACAGTCAAAAACTTTGATATTACGTCATCAATTAGCCTTCATATTAAGCAGGAGCGATTTCGAGTTTATCATATATTTTTGCGCTCTGACAACAAGGCAATAAATTTTTGCAAGGACAGCAGTAATTTATATATTTACAGGAAATAATCAGAGCAGAAAAGTAGATAAAAGCAGTATGTTTTAAGAACAGGTTTTGCAAGCTCGTAAACTTCAATAATCTCATCGAGAACAGTCATGCTACTACATCAAAAAGTCGGTCGATGATCATACGAAGTGATTCGGGTGTGTGTTTCAAATGCTTTTCAGAACCTTTTGATACGAGAGAACGGGTCACTCTGAAATACGAGAGGTCATTTCATAGAATTACATTTCCTGCTCGCTTACAAAAATTTCGAATTGAAAATCATTTGAAGAACAAAGATTGGAAATAGTACTGAAAATTGAGTAATTCTTTATATTAGTTCAATTTATTATGCTCTTTCTCGCATTCAGCATTTGGTATATTGATAAATGAAATGTATGCAATGTGTAAATATAAACAGCTTTCATAAGAAAACTAAGACGGAAATGGTTTTTCATGTTACACATATTTCATTATGATATTCAAAAGTCAAGGTGAAATATATACCGTGCGTAAACTTCTGCATACGGCTCACATATTAGTGACTTTATTTCGGATTTGACATCATGTGCCAACTTAGCATCCGAAAAGCAGTAATCCTGTTGCACATTAATTAGTCTTTCCAGTTCAGCATTAAATGCCTAGAATAATTGGTTGTAAATGGATCTAAAAAAAAATAACTATATGCAGCATCAACACTAGTTTTGCCGCACAAAAGTAATATCTAGTTAGTATGTTACTGCTAACAATACGAAAAGTGGAACCAATGTAGGTCTACTCATCAAGTTATATAAAGTTCTGCATATGGCTCAACAGATTATATCATTAAGAATACATTAACTAAAGCTAGAAAGCTTGGACAAGTATGTTTTGAAAATGAAGTTGAAGTTTTCAAAAATTAAAAACTGTTCTAGCTTATTGGCTTCTTCAATTGGTAGAACGAACCGCAAGTGCATTTTTTAGCGTTGTTTTGTCATCGAAAGCAGAAAGATCTACAGCTATAATTGAAACTACGCGATTCCAGCTGTAAATTTAGAATTGGTACGTTCCATAAATACACAACTCATGAATAAGATGAATGCCTTAAACTTTTGCTCTGTATATAGCAACAAGCAATATTATCTGAAATCGGTCAATTTGCGGACAAAACTAGAATTCTACACATAGGGATCTGCAGTTGTTGGCTGGATAAATATATTAACAATCGAATGAATAAGTATAAACATCATAAAACATTCTTCAATTGTTTTAAGGAAATGAAGAAAGACTGATAATCACCACTCTAAAACCCTCCACATAATGCAGAAGAGTAAAAAGTGTAACGGAACATTTTTGTCAGTTCGCAGTTTACAATTATTATATGCATAATTACTTCCGAAGACTTCTGTAAAATTCAAAGAAACTATGTACAATAGTAGTCAATCACATATCACTGCTTAAAGATACCTTTGAAGATATTTTTTGCAATACACGTCGATTTCTGACCGATAGAAAGAACGCACTTGAGAGTTATGCTCACCAACCACCGCAAACATACCATTGTTTTGAAGAGCATTATGAATATAATTATTATTGTTTAAAAGAAAAACCGCACCCAGTGTTTCGTCGCTATAAGCTGCTGCTTTAGATTTTAAATTCAAACCTAATGCACTTAATGCACGAGCTGAAAATCAGGAGACATATCTGTCAAATCAATGCTAACACGATACATATCATCTCTCAATTTAAAATCTACGATCAATTTTAATCTTATGATACATGGATTTTTCACAACAAGCTTAGTTCATAAGGTGAAACTTTTCTTCCCATCACAAAAAATACGAACAGGAAGTATCATAAATATTTCGACAACAACAGAAATTTTTAAATAAAACAGAATCCTTAAAATTATTGCATATTGTGCTATAAATCACACATGAAAAATAGTTCCAAATCACATTTAAAATCTACGTTCCAATATTTGAAAGAGTGGATTCAAAATGGAATGAAAAGTAGTGCAAAAACTTCAGAATATAAGTCTAACCAAAGAGCCGCGGGAAATGAGTTGTTGGGTTCCCCTTCGCTCCAGTAGCAGTCAACAAAGCTGTAACAGTTTGACGATAGTCCATCAAACTGCTCAAAAAATTAAGCGTCTGAAAAGTTTTCTTTCATACACTTCAGTAATATGGCTGTAACATTTGAACTTCGATAAAAATTATACATTTGAAGTAATTTGATGAACAGTGCCGTCAGCTGGAATGAATTTGTTAGGATCATTTGTCAAATGATTGAAGAAATCATCAAGAGCATCCTTTGCTTTCTCATTAACTTTTTTTACAAAATTCTCATACGGTACAGTTTCAACAGCGTTCTGAAACAAAACGTACTGCAACAAACATATCTCAGAACTGAAAGCATGTATTTATATATGTAGTTTTTTCAAGCATTTGTATAGAAATGAGTCACTTTTAACTTTAAAGTAGTAGTCTAAAAAATTTGCTTAGCATATCGGAATCGAAAACTAAATTAAACTTTTTTTTTCATAATGATTATAACCTACTAATTACGAGCATTACAGACACTGACACGAATGAGAATATTATGTCGATACTGAAAACGAAAAATAAAACTTTTCAACTGATGACAATAAAAAACAAAAGTCGATCTAACTAGCGTAGAATGAGTTCAGACAACTTTTGCTCAATAAATAAAATGGCAAAAAAAAAAACATTTCCAAGAGACAGCAACTGCAAGTAATGCGCGTTAATGTGCTTCAGAAGAGGTAGCAACGGAATTAGAGAACATCCAATTCCATCCATAAGACTGATCCCACGCTCCACAACATAAAATAATGGAGGACCAAACAATAATTGTTGCACTTTGGCTTCGGCACTCACATCTGCTATTATTTTACTTATCAGCTCTGTTTCTATCTAAAAGACCAAATTACAAAAAGGAACACTGCTTTTATTGACAATGTCACATTCTTAAGCAATTTAACAATATACAATTCCATAAGAATTCAAATAAAGAACAAGAAGAACCTCTAGAAGCACAAGAAATGCTCCGAAAGAGACCAAAACATTCTCAACATAATTGTCTGAAGCACGCCATTCCCGAACTAAAAGCCAGCAAACTTTTGAATTACAAATGAGTTAATATTACCGATACTAGCGAATTAATTATAAAAACGAGAATAACGAAATAAAATATGAATTTATGAAAAAATAATAATAATAAAGGTTGTTTTCCAACATAAAAAGTCAATAACACTAGTTTATTGAAGACTAGCTATGCAAATAAAATTACCAGATCTTTCGGAGGAACGGCCGGTAGCCTTTCGCAGAGCTCTGAAATGATTTTTAATACTTACTTTCCTCAAAATTTTTTCTACACATCCAAATATTAAGGAAAAAAATCATTCATTATATTAGTTTGCAATTACTTCAATATATCAAAATTGATAACAAAAAAAAATTAATAATAGGGTCTTCGAAAAATCTAGTAACAAACTAACTGTTTCAAGGACACTGATGATTTTGAAGACAACAAAGTATTATCTTTGCTGTTTGCACTAAAATCATGTTGGCTAATTCCAACCAGGGTTCGGAGCATATTATCACAACGAACATTTGCGTATGTTTTTATCACAGAACCTTCTGGATTATATATTAATAACCAACGCGCTATTTGTGCACATTGTTCAACGTTGCGTAATGTGGTCGATCCACGCAGCCGAGTAGATATTACTTCTTAAAACTTATTTTAACTGAAATTTAATTTAAGTAAATTCCAAATAATTATGTATTTCATCATTTCCTATCATTCAAACTAGAATTATTATGATTTTACACCTTAGTTTCAGCATAGGTTCCTAACTGAATAAGTATTACAATAAATGAAAATATTTCAGCATGCAGACACAGAAAAAAATCGCCTTTAAGAAATAATATTAACCATATTCATTGTCCAAACATTCGCTGATGACTGCTGCATTCAAAACAATTGAATTAGCCATTAACATATTCCGAAACTCTTTCTCCAGAGCACAGCAACCAGACTCAAAAGTTAGCTTCTGAAATTAAATAGTTACGACTAGTTTCGAGTATGTATGAACAGTTACCAAAGACTAAATAAAAAATAGAGAATTACATATGACAAGAAATCAATTTCTCACATATACACTTATTCCCAAAATTTAACTGATTACAGGAAATGTTTTACTCTCATTTTAATAACCAGAAACTTCCTTCATTCACTTTTTCCTTCCTATTTCTGAAAAATATAACCACTCTATTAGTGAAAAAATATAATTTCTTCAGCATTTAACTTAGCAAAATACTGAGAGGTAAGCAGTGCAAAATTCTTTTATTTCACAAAATATAAAATGCCATTTTAAAGGGTCAATTATTTAAAAAATATCACTCACTCTAGATCTGAATAATATTTTTTCACATGAATAAAGTTTTTTTTTGCGTGAAATTGCTGATACAAAACGAATGAGATGGAGATACCATGCTATCAAGCTGATTCTGATATGTTGGGTGAGAGCAAAAAAAGGAAATCGCTTCCGCTAACTGTTCCATTCTTTCGATGAATTGTTCTCTGTCTACTGATGCATTTCCTTCTCGTATTGAGCATTCTAGTTCAGCAGCTCGGCCATAAAACTGTTGCATTGCATCAACAGTTTTCAGCACCTTTCTAATATCTGTAAACTATTACATAAATCTATATTCATAAACGAAAAAAAAATAATCCTTTTCTCCCCGTTTTTTTTCAAAAAAATGTTAATTTTTAGGAAACAAATTTTTTTTTACCAATAAAAGCACATTGAAAAAATTTACGGCAGCTCACTTGCTTGTTTTCGTTGCAAAAGAGAGGTTTTTTCATGAAGTGGTACAATGCTTTGATCCAACTGCACCAATCTATTTTGAAAACTTTCTAATACAGTGTTAATTTCATTACTTAATACTCTGCTCTTTTCTATATTTTCTTCAAAAGTTTTGAGCCATTCGCTATCCTAAACGAGTATAACTATACCAGATTAAGCAAAAAATGTAACTACAATAATGGTGATGATCATTTGAGTTTTTTTATATTTTTTAGTCCAAAAGTGAAAATGCTGAAAGACCATTTTGAAGGTGAGTGAAATAAGTTCAGTACTGTCAGTGCAAATTTAACAAATGATCCAAGCAGTTAAAAATCAGTGAGAAAAACTTTTACTTGTTGCAATGTAGCGTCAACATTACCAAGTGCTTGATCATTTAACGCCATAAAAATGAAATAAACTCTGAAAATATCAATTCGATTGATTATTTGAGGACAGTACAATATGGCATGATTTTTCTAACAAGTCACTTAGAAGAAAAGAGTGTACTTGTAATTTTTCAATGGTAAGAGGAATGAACGAAAAAAAAAAACTACGTCGAGAAGAAATGCGCTACCACTGGTATAAAGAACGGTACAAATATTTGAGTGCATTCAGATGCTTTAATTTTAGAACAATAGGTTTTAACATTTTAGATCTGTACAGGTACATTCTTCCAGTGAAGATCATACTCTTCAATCAAAGGACTGGACAAAAATTTAAACACGGCCTCACTTTCAACTAATAAAACAACCAATAACAAAACAATGACATGTTAAAGTAGCTAATTCGTTACGTGTTGACAACTAAAATTTGAAACTTCAAATTTGCATTTTGCAAAAGCCGGTATTATAAAGGCGCTAAAATAAGAATTTGTATTCATCGACACTAGGCCTTCAGCAGTCAGCAGTACCCAGTCACGGGACCTCGATCAACCTGTTAGTTTCCCTGTACCTTTTGTTGATGCAAATACAGTTAGTACTAACGTTGTAGCAGTACAATCGTGCACTGCACAATTGATTCAGGCAAAATTAAACCTTTTCTGAAGAGATAAAGAAATTCTCTCTTCGCCTTTCAATGTAATAAACGATTGCATGCATAGTGATAAGAGCTAACTGCCGCCATAGTCGCTACTATCATACTTGCTATGGCGACGTTATATCTACTTTGGATGATTTCTTAAGTTGTTATTACCACACTCATCATAGCTTTTTCTAATACCCAATACAAGTCAGTGCTGTTGAAAAATTCATATTTGTTTTGGGGGGATTTTATGACCACCGTAGATGCAAGACACACTGTAGTAAGATTGTCTTACTGCATTTTCACAAAGTGCATCCTAATCTCAGTCTGGCATTGCAAAACGAATCAGAAATAGTTTGTTTCTCTAACTGACTTCTGTGCACCATTTGTTTGCTTAAAATGAGCATGCCGGTCTGTATATTATCTCTTCGTTTATGGTGTATTAGAAGCATTTCTTAACTACTAGTGTAATAATCATATTTTAGTGAAAGGTCCAGCTGAACTAATTTATGCCCTAAAATCAAGAGCTGAGTCAAAAGATTCTAAAATGAATCAAGCGCAAAATGCTCAACGAGCGATTGAAAATTGGATAGTTGGAGGTCAGCCGCCTAGAAAATCATTGTGGCTGCGTCGAGATGGCATTTCAGGTACATTCCAAAATTCATCTCTTATTCTTAATTGTATAGAATTTATATATGATTACAAAAACATATCAATTTGTTTAAAGCAGAACATAGAAGTCTGCGTTAGTTGCAGTTATAAAGTTCTGATGAATGGTTACTAGCAACTGAAAAACTGAAGTCCAGATTTTAAATTCAGTTCAGAATCCTTATTAAGTTTTTCTGTGCACTTTTGTTCAGCAGAGATGTTAATAACTGGGAAGAGAACGTTTTATACTTGAATCCTATAGTTCAAAATATTTCGTTCTTGATCGGGAAATGCCACTCTTGTGAAGCAAAGATCTTGAAAATTTACGACTTTTTTGAGACTTTGATTCATTTTAGTAGCTGGATAACTTTTTATAGATTGTGTTTGATTCTAATGTGTTTATTTATAGTTGGTAAACAAAAACAAGTTTGTGAAAACTCATGTATTTTAAAACCATTTCAAAGTTTTTTACATACTTGATATTGGCATTAAGATTTCAGTTCATATGATGGCAAGAACTAAACAACCACCTGTAAGCTTGCTTATGCCTCTCGATAGTTGTTTTGAAGTGCGCATTTTGTGCATAGATTATAATAATGGTTTTATTCTGATAAGGCCTTTAACAGTGGATGATAAATATGTCAAATTACGTCAAAAATTACAGCAGCAGTCGAAAATGGAACATTGCCGAGCAAATTATATTGAAGAAGGTATTTAATTCCATCAAAATTCTTTTTTAAAAACCTATAGCTCAAATTAGAATTATATAGTAATGTAACAACAGTCTTATGTGTAGGTCAATACATTAAATGACCACATAGAAGAAAATATACACCATTGATTGTATGATTTATAGATGGAATATATCTTGTTCCAAATGATCATGGTTTAATGTTTCGTGGTGTACTTGTTGGTCAGCCCTCGGAGAATAATCTAGTAAATTTTAAATTTTGATATTATTTTTTAAAAGACTGAGAGCATCGCATTTAGAATAAGTGCCATTGCTTTCTAGACTAATTCACTCATTAATTAGGTGAATTAGATCCTAGATTATATCGTTGCATGCATAATATTACATTTATAAGAGTGTAGAATAAGAAACTTATACATTAGAATGAGAAATTCCAAGTATTCAGTTGTCTGTTTAAGTCCTCGCTAGTGAGTTTATTTTTGGGTATCTATTTACAGTTTTATGGAATAGATGATGGTGAAAGAAAAGTGGTAAAAGCAGAAGACACATTCCAGCTGCCAGACGAATTACAGTCATTTCCTCCTTCTTCCTTCTGTGGTATCTTACCTTGGTACACCAGCAGTTCTCAATACGAAGAACTTTCCTCAGTCAATACAAACATTATTTGTTTGTGCAAGATTAGTAAGTGTATGAAAAAGTGCTGAAGAATCACTTGAAATACATTTTCAATTTCAGAAGTTTGTGTCCGATAGTTAGGGCTATAACACATGATTCTTCAGTACTTTTTTCTTCAGTAGTTTTAATTCAATTTCCCGTTCAACAATAGAAATTCACTAAACTACTTCAAATCCTTTCGTAATGGTGAATTTCAGACAAAGTCCTCCCGGGACATTTTATGGACTATCCAACTGCAATGTATCCTCCAGTTTTATTCATCCAGCTGTATAGACTGACAGCAGATAATTACTATATAGAAATTATTTCTAAACAAGTTAGTGATTTGTATTGACTGAGGAAAGTTCTGAATAAAGCCGTTTTTGTATTGTTCAATTATAATTGCCATTTCAGAAGCCCAACTCAATTATACACTGTGCAGAATATCTTTGGCCACGAATTGCTGTTTTTAATTCAAGCTGGATGGGGAAAATTGATCAACACATAATGAGCAATTTTCGAAGAATATCACTATCAGATCATGTAAGTTCACAAAAGTTACGCCTGTGCTTTAAAGATAATCTTTTCGAGCTTTAGAATGATCTTTCACAAAAATATTTTGTTCTAGAAGATTCTTTTTAATTTTAAACCAATTTTATCTTTATTTTTTAGGAAATTGTCCAAACAAGAATTGCAAGCGACAATTTTTTATTCAAACCGTATAATATCAGCTTACCATGTCAAGTTAAGGCTATCATAACAAGAAGAGTCAGAAAAAATATTTATTGGATGCGGGATGCAAATATTTTAAAAATTTTGTATGAGGTAAAGCCCAGAAAGTAATTTATCTTAAACTCGAAGTAAATAACTTGCTTTCAATTCTAACAAAAAATCTGACGGAAACTGCTTTATTCTTAAATTATTCAGAACTTGATTGATCCATATGAACACGCAAAATACAGTATAGTTGATATAATAAAATATGGCGTAGAATTCTCTTGTTTGGTGCGACTAACGAGACCTTTCCGAGACAGTAGTCTCTTTGATCGATACTATGTTTACAGGTTCATGATACGAAATCGTCTTAATATAAGAAAAATGTGATGTTAATGTTGCTTTCATTAAGTAAATAAATTTGAGCGAAATCATTACCTATATTTGATTAGATTTCATTGCTGAGAGATTTATTCAATTGTTTTGCGGTAAAAGGCAGCTTCCGACTGATATGATATCTCTTTTAATTAATTCCGATCAGTTCAGTTTGGCGACTAATGGAAGTGATTCAGTTTGATGACTTTAATGAAAGGGATGCTTTTTCAGAGCAGTCGTTTTTGAATTAGATGAGGAAAGTAGAAACTGTTCCGTACATCTTATAGACTTTGGTTTATCAATTACATGCAGCACTGAAAATTTGTATAGTTTCGAAAATCAGGCCTGTTTTCGCTCTTCATCACATGATGCTATGTTGTGTTAGAGTAGATCAGCGCTTTCAGTGCTGTTGAATGTAATTATTTGTTTGAGAATCAGATACCTCTTATTCTGCTCGCTCCTCTTACATTTGTTCTAGAAAAAAGATTGCATATGTTTAGCCTGATATAGTGCGTGAGGTACCGTCTGCTGCTTTTAAGTGTCTAATAAATACGATTTCGCTACAAAGAATTGGTAGAAATGGAAGAAAATTAAAGGTAAAGTCATTCTGCACTTTTGGCATTACAGTCTGCATGCTGTGTGGGTAAGATCAAGAGCGAGTTTTCTCTACACTTCGTGACCAGAACAATAATTGCATTGTAACGGAGATGCTTCAAAATCCAACAGTGATTATTCGCTAATGCTGGCTTCGAAGAAAATAAGGTGCTTACACAGGAAAGGTAGCCAGTTACTGACATTCATTTTCAGCCTACCGAAGAAGAACTCTGTGTTGTGGAGCTTGTTTACAAATATAGAAACCGATACGTTGGTGACATGATATTGGAGATGCAACAATTGGAACATGAGCCCGAATCAGAACTAATCAGGGATTATAACACTGATGAGAGTGTTGAAAACTTTACTACAACAGATATGAACATTAGAGCTTTTTCAAGTAATAGAAGAATCAGGGCAATTTACGATGAAGGGCAGTGGTACCAACCTACTTTATACAGTTGCGCTGAAAATAGCAATATTGCAATAAGGTTTTTCATTTTTGGCCTACCTATTTGGTTGAAGTTTTGATTTACCACTTTGAATGGTGTAATTATAAATACTTCAATAAATTTAAATTTTTAAGAAATGAAGTAATGCTTTCTTCAATACAACTTGATGTCTTGCAAATATCTGAAAAAGTCAATAATATTGCTAATGCAAAACTTGCATCTCTCCAGCTGGTTGGTCATCATGTTTTCTATGATTCCTATTTTCCAGAAATAATTCTCTGAGTGAATAATGTTTTTTAAGCTAATAAGATTTTTCTTCTTCATAAATCATAAATGTGACATAAATATCTTGCAGTATTATAAAAATGCGATCTGTAGTTGACAGGCATCAAGAAATGATACTTTTTTGAAGATCCGATACTTGTGAATTTGCTACTCTCATTGTAAAAAAAATGCAGTTTTTATGTGTAAAAAGAATTTGACTTGGCTAATTTGTAATTTCATTAGGCTCTGGCGAATTGTGGTCGCTGTGATTTAAATCTTACACCTTCAATGCATCAAGCATGTAGGGAGCGGGGTTTTTCAAGGTCACATAGTAAATTTGCACAGGCAGAACAGCTCAGGTAATTATCATTATTCTTGCTGTTTGCTCTGAAGTTGATGAAATACTGCCAAAATGATTTTTCAGCTATGATGAGGCATTAGATAACTCACAGTTTTCGAAATGGAATTTCTTATGGAAAGAAACAAATGCGGTAAAAAATATTCCATTGAATAATTCGAAACGCTGACTTTGTTACGCAGTGGAATGTGCATAGGGAAAAGAAAATGAATGTTAACCTCCGAACCTTGCATAAAATATCTTCACAACCGTTTCTGGCACTGCTAACTCAGTTTTACTACACTGCAATTATTTATTGTCTCTCCAGTATTAATCATTCCAATTAATAGATTCAGTTTTTGTCTTAACCATTAATTATGTTTTTCGAAATACTTTCAGATACAAAAGTAGTAGTTGAAATTATTTTGTAGGATTTGAATCAAAACTCAACGTACAAAATCAGGAATGAAAGTAATCTTGGACGGCAGTGGGTACGTCCTACAACTGGAAAGAGTCATTTGTCAGGCATGTACAGATTTTTTTAACTCTTCAAATAATCACAGAATCCTAAAATCTCAGTTCTCAGCACAACAACGAAGATACTGCACAAAATCGGGTTCTCTGTTCATTGTAAGAGAATGACAAAGTTTCAGACTTACGCAACTGCTTCAACAGAGGCCAAAAAGAGCTGATATTTAATAGTCATTGTTTAGACTTAGGATTTTATCGTTTTTGAGCGGTACCTGCTACATCCTCCAATATTTAAATCAGTAAAGATTGATGACATAATACATGATGATAGTAGTATTGAAAAAACATTTAATGATAATAGTTCCACATAGCAGACTCATTAGAGTTGTGCACTCATTTCAAGTACTGTGAGTAAATCACTCCATCGTTCGTCAATCTATGAGAATTTTTCACTATATGGCACTGCAGAATTTACAAAGCACAGTCAGTATCGGTATTCGCAAAATGAATTAGGAAGGATAGATCGTCGTCAGCTATTAGCCAAGAAAGCACAATTTCAAAAGTACAAGGGCAAACGTAATTATAAAAAACACGTGGATACCTTTCAGAATTGCTGCAATGACAAGTATGAAGGCGAGCAGTCATTTGTTGAGGTATTTTTTATTCGATCGAATTCTGGTGTTTATCTTGATCAAGCTGGTTTCCACTACTCTCTTGATTAAACAAACCTATTTTTTTTAATTTGCAATTTTTTTGCAAACTATTTATTATGCATTGTGCTCACGTTGCGGGTTTGTGAACAGCTGTAAAAACCAATTTGCTTGGCATGTGTATTTCTGCGTTGTATTCCGTAACATTTCTTCATTTCAGCAAAATTCAGAGATTTTTTACATACGAAGGCTTCGCAATAAAGAAGGCGAACTGCTTTATACTTCTGATGAGTCATCAGTAGATGAAACTCAGTGCGTTGAAGCACAGTGTCATAATAGAAAGGAAGATGATGATAGTGCTGCCGAAAAAGTTAATTTTTTCGTAACATGTTTTTCTTTGTAAATATAAAGAATACTGGTAAAATTGGTTCATGAAGTCTTAAAATCATGGTGCTCTGAATATTCTAGGAAATTGTTGAGACGAATTTGTTGGAAAAAGATCTCTTTCTTGATATTGATGGACCGGTAGCAGCTTCTATACCATTAAAACAGTACGATGTAAAGTATAAGGTCGTTTTTATCACAACTTTGCAATAGTTTCTGCTGAAAAATTTTAATTCTATTCATGTAATCTTTACTTTTAAACTTTATTTGATACAAATAATGCATCGTCCATGCGTTTTTTCAGGCTTTCTTCGAGCATGTAAAAGTGAAGGTAGGTGAAGAGTTACTTGTGAAAAGAAGTGATGACGATCGTGATAATTTAAAGTGGCCACTTTTTTTTGTGCAGATCCAGCGCGATGACTTGCTTGATCTCTTAGAAGAGCAACTTGATTCACTAGAGCCAACAGATTCCATTAGTGAAAGTGAACTGGTAATTAACTATATTTGGCCATTAGATTATTCAGTTACTAAAAATGATTACATCAATAATTTTACCATTTCCTATGAATATCTCTTATAACTTGTCTGATATTAAAAATTCATAACTACTTGTCTTTTTTATTGCTTGAAGCTAAAAACCTAACTGGTATGAAATGGCCTCTGTTGTAATCGTTTTTGTAAATAGGGCTTTAGTGGAAGGAAGTAAAGAGAACTGGAAAGTTTTCTCTTGGCATAAGGTGTTTTGGTGTTTTATTTAGAGTATCAGTTTAAAGATACAGTATGTAAATGTCACATGTTCAGCAAGTAGGTACGTTATGTGTATCGTACTGTCGTGCTTTTGACTCACTGTTTCGAGCTGTCATTACAAATGTATGTGATACTGGTATCGAAGTTCATTACATCGATTACGGCAATTATGAAATGGTCAAATCAAATGATTTGAAGTCCATTAATAATCTGGTATATTCTGTAAAATTTTCTTATATACTAATGCATGCTGAATGCGTGTTTTTTATATTTTGATTTGATTAGAAGAATGTGATCATCAAATTAGACTTTGTCTTCGTAAAGAACAACTGATAAAAACTAAGGTTTGATTGTCTGCTAAATATGTTACGTAGACTAGCAACAAATATGATGTGTATTTCAGTCTGATATTTCTCGTACTCATCCGGGAATGGCGATTCCTTGCATACTCTACAATGCACAAAATTCAGATACTTTAGCAGTTGATGACGATTTAGTAGCAAATCTGAAAAAAAAAGTTTCATGTGAGCACCAATCATTCCTTCTTCGAGTGATTAAGGAAGATGGTAATGGCATATGTACGGTCGAGTACATTTCTTCCTAGAGCCATTTCTATGCATACATACTTACTATCACATGGATTTCATATCGGAATTTTTAAAATGATATTTCTCATTCGTTTGCTTTGAAATACTGTGCTTACGGTTTTTGATCTGAACAGATATCATGTATTCGCATTTTAATGCTACTGTAAATCATCGCTTTTAAAAATGTGCTAACATTTTCGTCCTCTAATTTGATGAAATACACTGAAATTCTTTAGTGTTTAATAACTGCTTTCCCTCGTGTCACGTAATGGTTTACATTCTTTTTAATTAGCAAAATATTTTTCTTCTCGCGTCTTATCGCTTAACTTTATAGTCTTTCTGCAATGCTTAAATATGAAATGACATGACAAAACACTCTTTCAATGACAAATCTACTTGTGAGCGAAAGCAGTTAGTTATTTGTTTTAATTTGTTTTTGCAGACATCCTTATCAGTAATATAATCATAAAAGCAAGGCAACTACATCTTCGCAGATGTAGTCTTTCCTGCACTAATAAGTAGCATCATTAAATGTATGTTTGTGTTTGTCTTTTACGCTTCAAGAATTCCGACTTACAGCGGGTTTCTCATTTCAGTGGTGTATGTTTCTATGTTCTTCTAAAGAACTTATGAGTTTCTCAGGAAAGTGCTGTATTAGAAGGAGGCAAATAATTTGTTGCGATGAAAATAAGGTGAGTGCAGAATTGTGATGTACGGAAGGTGTTAATGCAAGTTTGACGACATGAGGGAAATAGATGTGTATGAGTTTTATTTTTGGATAACTGGATGGAGGACAGAAGGCAAACTTACTAATGTAAGCAAAGGTTTAGTCTTGTGAAGGGCAGTGATAAAAGTGAGAGGAATAGCTGTTTGTCATTTAAGAGAAACAGCAGATATGATTTGCAGACCAAGGATATGCGTAGTAGAACGCGGTCATGATTTGAGCTTACTGCCTCCAAAAAGAATACTCAGTCAGTAGTCGAGAAGAAAGTTGTGGACTTTCCAACATAGTCTGCTGAAAACAAAAGTTCCTGAAGAAATCCCAATTGCATATGTACTGAGATTTTTCCAACTTCAATCCGATGGAAGTTGCAGTCCCGTAACATAAATCCGACCCTCGTTTTTCTCTCAAAGTAGACAGGCCCTCATTTCTGCGGTCGACGAAAGCTTCGAGATTAGCAGCCACTTCTGGAAGCAATTGCCAGTGACCGCCATCTATTCGAAAAAGACAGTCCAGCACGCAATCCTGATTAAGGAAACTGGAATTTCATTCTTCAGCAATGTAAGAAAAAAGACCTCGAGAAGATCAGTTCGTTTTAAAAAGCAGCTAACCAACTAACTAACTACCAATGATTGCTTGTGAATTTGGCTCTGGTGGATATAAATAATAACGATTATGCCTATATTGATTATGTCCCATGATAGGATATGTTTAGAATCACTTTCTTTACGCTTGGTCGTAAGAGAATGCTGTGTGATAAATGTAATAGTGAAGCAAATTTGGCGCATTTGTAGCTGGATTTGGCCAAATTCGTCTCGTTGCTCTAAGGCAATTGAATTGCTCACTAATCTGACGGCAAGTTTAACACTCCTCCTGACTACCTGTGTAGATAACTAATAAATTTATTCATTCTTGTCATTATCACTACATTTTAACCCAACTGACCGGTCTTTCGCTTTCTTTGCTTACTTAGTAGCTGCAAGCTTACTCATTTCCAGCAACTATTTAATCTCATGAACTTTCTTTTCTGACATCATTATACAGGAGTAGTGCTATGAGCATCTGTGCTTTCACTATACTTTGTGCTGAGAATATCACAGAGGCAGTCAACTAACTGCACAGCAGCACTTTCCATGGAAACCAACTGCGCTTTATTTTCGATAATTTTTTTTGAGAGGATGTTTTGTTAGTAATCGTACAGTCAGTGCCACTGAACTGATCTACGCATATAGTAAATAGTTTTGTCTACCTTTATGATCAATTTCTGAAGCAATTTGCGGTTCAAACATCGCACAAGCAATTTTAAAAATTAATATGAGAAAGTAAATAATATTGTACAAAATTTCAATAAAAAGTTTCTCTCGTCAATTGATTTGCAAGGAAACAAAAATCGTAGCAAAGACTTTAAAGTCTTAGATTCATGTGAATGTATTTGAGCGGTACTCTTGACAAACTGACCTGCTATTTACAAAGGAAATGCTCAACTGTACAAGAAGAATAAAGTAGTTTTACCTGTTTCGAGCTGCTGCTCAACTGCACAACGCACTGTAAAAGTTTGGTGGAGTAGTGACTGCTAGCAAGCACTTGCTCAGTTTTCGCTGCAAACCAAACTCATTTGTGACCTGCGCAGAGATGGTGAAAAAATGAGCACATGTCAGTTTTTGAAGACAATTACCGCAAGAAAGGAATAAGTGAGTGGGTGCTCGACAACGCATACCAATTGCGAAAAAAATGAATACAACGCTGATGACATTTTTTTATTAAATGATATTAATATTATACCAAAATGGCACATTCGTTGGACTCTTGTAGTTTTCAGTTTGCAATTTTCGTAAGCTTACTTTTAGTATCATTTTAAGCTGACGTGTCTGATTAAGAAGACTAGTTTTCATTCTCTGTTCATCAATCAAGTAATATAAACTGGCAGCAAAAACTTTACAAGAGACATGCTTTTGAAGTCCGTTCTAAAATCAATTCAAAACTTTCATTCAAATACACGAACAGCAATTCATTCGTATCAACTTGACGTAAGTTGGTCAAGCGTGACTCCCACATTCTTTAGCGTACTTATTATGGAGTAAAACAAGATAAAAAATACCAGGAAATTCCGGATTGTTAAAAAGATTTCTTTTAAATTGAAAAAATACAAAAAAAAAAATGCTAAATGACTACCAATAAAAGGTCTTTCAATCTCTACTAAAACTGATAACCATATATTTATGAACTGGATTTTTGATTATTTCCAGCAAATCGTCAAAATTTCTAAACTTATCTCTTAATAAATTATCACAACGAAAATGAGCAGATCCCCTCGTAACTGTAAAATTACAATATACAATTGGCAATATTAAGAAGTCATTAGACATATAATGTGTGCCATATTACGGAGAGTCAATTATTAAACGGAAGGGAGGCTGCAGTGAGTCGCACAGAGAAATAACCCGTTTACACAGCAAAGTAATGCTCAATGAAAATTTGAATAGTTTTGTGAAATTTGTGCTTTTGGCACTGTGATGCACAGATGGTGCAGCACAAGCAAGCAGTAAACACAGTTATTAAACAGTCAATAAAAAATTATCTGCCAAAAGAAAAACCTTGCATTCATATTTGATGCCACCATTGTGCACACAAAACTGCGTCTAAACAGAGCGCAATTCACTCCTTGCTCGCTCCCATCCCCCTTCGTATTCCGTTATTTTTCGATTTCTCTTCCTAGGCACAAAGAAGGCATAACAATTGCGCTTCCCGACTGCTTATCAGCTGAGGGCGGTGACGAATGAAAATAATGTGTGCCATATTATGGAGAGTCAATTATTGAGAGTGCAGAAAAAAGACAAATGAGATCGCCACGACTTCAAACTGCACATCACACGGAGGGATGATTCGATCCGTCCACCTCCAATGCAACTTTTCCGCCGCTCTACGCTCAGTTCCAACGTGAAATCTAAAGATTTTCTAGCAGTGAATGAGGGGGCGAAGTGCGTGAAATCATCCATTTTCATTGCATAAAAACGAAAAAAGTACCCATCTCAAAGTGATTGAGTAGAAAGTAAAGTAAACTGCATTCTTTCTTCAGCAATTCCCACCGATTTTCACTTCTCAGCACAAAGAAAAAGCGCAATTTTTTCTCCTTTGGAAAATAAACAAGAGCGAAAAAATACGAAACTTTTACCAATTGAAAATTGTTTTGAACTTTGCCTGAATAAAAACTCAAAACTATCAATATCAATCTTAGTATTTCCCGCATAAAAACGACAATTTAAAAAAGTGCCATAAATTCAATCCTATGCTTTCAATTTTTATATCTTCGTACTTTTCAACATCAAATATTTAAACTGATAATTAAAAAACACGATATTTTTATTTAAGACAATAATACAACTTTGTACAATACGAGAAATCAAGACTGAACTATCAAGTATTTTGGACATTCCAACTCTGTTATAATCACTATTAAACTGATGACAGAAAATAAGAATAAATTTCTGAAACCACAAAGTATTCAAAATAAAAAAGGCGCTTTGAGTCAAAGTCACTTTCAACGAATATTATTCTTTGCCATTTTAAGTACAGATATTTAATTTTCGCAATTTGAAACACCGACAAAATGATTAAATAAGAAGCAGCTTGAGAAATGAACATCAGCCATTAAGAATGGGTAATGCTTCATAATAACAAAGCCACTATAAAGTAAATGCCAACAAATCTGAGTAATTATTGCTTACAACTCTCAGATCGTGAAAATCAAAGTTCATGTGAAGTTCATAAGGAAAGCTAATTACTCACAAAAAAGCATTACAGATTCTCAAATACATAAAATTACTGTTAAACCGCGAAAAAAAATCCCAATGCTCTTTAATTAAGAAAATCCTAGTTCAAGGGTACAGTTCAGAGGCCATCTATTACACTCTAATCAGTTGCGAAAATGACAGTCGATATGAATCAATTTTTCTGGCTCAAAGACAAAGAGTCACAAGCATTGCGTGACCTCTAAACAGTATAGAGAGAACTAATAATAGCGTGACCTCTGTACAGTACAGAGAGAACTAAGACAGCCTATCAACAACAGTACTCAAAAAGTTCTAACAATAACTCAACAGCTGCTTTCCGCTGCAATAGCGAACCGACTTTCTGAGCTGAAAGTGTACAAACGATGAGTAGCGAAACTCTCCACAAATTAAGTTCCCATACACTTCTGGACTTGGTTTTTCTCACATTTTTGGTGTGTAGTTGCTCGGTATTGATGGTGGCGTGTCTATCAGGAGCTGTTGCCAAGGTTCCTTTGGAACTGCGCAGAGTGTGCATGGTAGTCCCAGATTTTATTTAGCAAACTTTGTCCAGACACACTTTAATGCATTATTGATCGATTTTAATGTCAATATCTATTAGAAATGTAGTAGAGGATGAGTGGATGGGTGTGCAATGATTTTCTACAATGTCATTCATATACATCGAATAATACAATTGAGCATTTCACATTTTTATTTTTTATTTCGCTTTTTTTACCTGATTTACATATACGTTTATGCTGTTAAGCTAAAAGCTTCTATATGAAAACAAGCAGTTATTAGCAGTTTGATGCGTGTAAGAACTTATAGGACTACCTGTAAGAAAGCAACAAAAAATTATGAATAAATAATTTCTTGCGGGAAAGGTTTGATTTTACGCATATTTCCCCGTCCATCAATAATATTCAACAACTTAAGACTTGCAGATTGCGCTGTTTGCATTCTTTTAGTAGATTTTATTACTATTGCTGGTCTTGTGGTAACAGTGCTACTTTCGAATAAAGTAATAATTATTCATCGTGATAAGAAAATGGTAGAAATTCGTAATGATAGTAGGATTGAGGCATCGTAGGAATCATCCTGGTAATGGTCAGATAGTTGTGATATTGACTTATAATGAATGCTAGAGGTTATAGCTTTAAATCTACCGAATTTTCTATCTGGAAAGTATCTGAAGCTTTATGTCTGTTGGAAAGTGATTTCGTCAGACAATAATTGAAATTTGATTGAGGTTTAAAATTAATTGAGAAATTTAAAAAATGTTTGTAGTAAATGATATTTGTAACTGTTTATGTCTAACCCTGATTATTTTTTGTGTAGTTAATCACACATATTTCTTTTCACTGTTATCAAGGAAGAAGTTTTTGTTATTTTAAACTATATTATTTGTTTTTTAAAAATATGCTCAAAAATGTTATAAGATTTGTGTTGGGAGCAGTTCAGAAAATATCTGGGAAGTGCTCATCAAAGTCAAAGAAATTCAGCTTTTGGACTTTATGTTTTGAAAAACAATAATAAACACATGTGTTGAATTCCATTGCATTTGGAATATTGTATCATCTCTGCAAATTGTATTGAAAAAGAGAAATTATCTTTTCAAATCGCAAAATGTCCTTGAATGTTGTTGTGTGTATTAAGGCCTTGGTATAGATAATTGTTCGTTTTATATTTCAGGTATGGCTGCAATTTCACCTCCAGTACAAAGTGGTAGTACATGTTCGTATCTGAATGGTGAAAGGTAAATCATACAAATAGCAATCTCTTAAGTAAAAGATGTCATGATATATAGGAAAATAATTTCAGACATCAGAATGTCAAAAATCGTTTTGTAAGTAATAACGTGTTGATTTTCTTTATTATACGATAATTGCATATTCAAAAAAATCAGATGTTCATTATTTTTTTCCTAATTAATAGTCAAATGGCTATTCCATTTAGTTCTCATCAGCTGGAAATTGTTTTTCCGATTTTTTTGCAGGAAATGTACTGAAACGCGTAATGAAGTAAAAAAGGACGGAATATTGAGTGATGACGATGATATTCCTTTGTCGGAAAAATTACAAATGACCAATGACGACGATGGTATACCCCCGGTGAAAAAGTTCAAAATGTTGAAAGATGTTGAAGATGATGACGACATGCCTTTATCACACAAAACTAGGAGCATAGTAATATTATGTTTCATCCATGTTATCAAGTGTTTCAGATTAATGAAGCCTTAACTTTTCATTTTCTCAAATATACTTCTCTTTTATTGTTTTAATGCACGGGTAATCTTTTATAACGCATCATTGCCTTGTTAGAATCGGAAATTTTTCAGCAGTCAAAAGGATCTTTCGAGAAAGCGCTAACATTTGCATCAAACAGTCGACGAAAAAAAGCAGCGTCGTCATCAGTCGTAACAAAAAAAAGTGTTAAAACTGAGTTGCCGAGTGATGATGATATTCCCTTAAGTTTACGAATTAATAAGCCCAAGAAGAAAAAGGGTGATGAATCAGATGATGATGATTATAAGCCAGAGGTTTTTTCATTTTTTGAGATTTTTTGACTTTTTTTTTCAGTAATACGAAATTTTAAAAGGCATGGTAGTTTTTTTTTTTTTTTCAGAACAAGAAAGAGAAACGAAAGGATTCAAGGCAAAGCAAAAAGTCCTCATCTTCTGGTTTTACAAAAACCAGTATTAAAACTGAGATTGTTAATGGTGCTGTACTAAATAAGCGTAAAAAGCAGGAAGAAGAGGAAGAAGTTTGGAAATGGTTTTTTTTTTGTCATTTTTCACAGCATATTTATTTTTGCTGTTTTTAAAGTTAAAATGGTGATGCCCTGTGAATTTCAGCAGTGCCTTTATTACTATGCATTCATTTTTTTAGGTGGGAAGAGGAAAAAAAACCTGATGGTATCAAATGGTACACTTTATGTCACAAAGGCCCAGTTTTTGCGCCACCATATATACCCATTCCTGATTCTGTTAATTTTAAATATGATGGAAAGGTTATTTGTTTCATTTAAAGAAATTTTAAATATTTTATTAGTTGTCTGTAGTTATTACTTTAATTATTGATGATTTGTAATTCAAAATGGAGTATTTAAATTCCTCCTTTTACTTTTTAGGCAATGAAACTGTCAGTTGCAGCGGAAGAAGTTGCTTCTTTTTATGCAAAAATATTGGATCATGAATATACATCTAAGGAAATATTCAATAATAATTTCTTTATGGATTGGAGGAAGGTGGGCAGTATTTACTCCTCTAATCTTTTAATGCAGATAATTTAACTGTAACAGTGCTTTCTAAAAAATTTATTGCATGTTTACTTGTTACATTGCAGATGATGACTCCTGCAGAGCGTGAAGTGATAAAAGACTTGGCTAAATGCGATTTTAGAGAAATGCATGCTTATTTTATGAAATTAAGAGAAGAACGAAAAGCTTTAACAAAGGAAGAAAAACAAAAACTCAAAGAGGTTTTTTTTGCACCTTTCTCAGTTTTTCGTCCTTTTTTTAAAATTAAATGAGCAAGAACATCTAAACCTAGAGAAAATGTGCAATATAACAAGTAAAATTTTTGCAGGAGAAGTTGGAAGAGGCTAAGATCTATGGTGTTGCATTTATTGATGGGCATAAACAAAAAATAGCAAATTTTCGTATTGAACCACCAGATTTATTTCGAGGACGAGGAGGGCATCCGAAAATGGGTCGCTTAAAGAAACGAATCAATCCAGAAGATGTGACCATTAATTGCTCCAAGTAATGTTTTATATGATTGCCCATCGTGCTTAAAATAATTTTTATATGAATTTATTGATCATTGTTCATAAACTATTCACTGATTGTTCCTACCAGATTTCAATAATTATTTCTGGAAATTTGCGGTTTATTTTTTTCCAGGGATTCGGAAATCCCAAGACCTCCTGAAGGCCATCACTGGAAAGAAATACGTCACGACAATACCGTAACATGGTTGTGCTGTTGGACGGAAAACATATTGGGCGCAATCAAATACGTTATGTTGAATCCATCATCTAAAATAAAGGTATTTTCTTCTTCATTAGCGTTGTGTAGTGAATTTTACTATGTAGGGAAGTGCTGATAATAAACTAAGTAAATATGAATTAAGAATCAGTAACAAAGAATTAGTTTCTGAAGATAGGTTAAAAACTAAAATTTATTTTCAGGGTGAGAAAGATTATGAAAAATTTGAAAATGCAAGACGATTGAAAAATGTTGTTGATAGTATTCGGGAAAATTATACAAGAGATTTGAAAAGTAAAGAAATGCGGGTGCGGCAGCGTGCTGTGGCTCTCTATTTTATTGATAAGGTGGAAATTTCGTATACGTAGAATTTTCACTCTTCGTGATGATTTATGCTCATGAAGGAAAATTTCAGTTAGCACTTCGAGCTGGCAATGAAAAAGATGTAGACGAAGCAGCTGATACTGTTGGTTGTTGTTCTCTTCGTTGCGAACATATAAATTTGCACGAAAAATTAGATGATAAGGAGTAATTATTTTAACTTTTACTTATTGACGTTATAGTAAATGGAGAAAGCGAAATATCAAATATAAAGGAAGTTATTTTAGTATAAATAATGTTTTGTCTACATTTAGTATTGTTTGTTTCTATGTTTCGTTTCTTTGCAATTATCACTGTTACAGTATGAAATCTAGTATTAAACCATACTGATTCCGTACTATAATAGTGTGCCAGCAGATGCTATTTTCAGTTATGTAGTCGAATTCGACTTTCTTGGTAAAGATAGCATTCGATATTATAACAAAGTGCCGGTGGAAAAACGAGTCTTTAAGAACCTGAAGCTTTTTATGGAAAATAAAAGTGGAAACGATGATCTTTTCGATCGTCTTGATGTAACGTTTTATAAAATTATTCATTCTTTCTAATACGTGTTTTTTAATGCATGTATTGTCCATATTTATGAGAACAAAATGATTACTTCCAAAAGAATTTTCTTCCAGTATATTCATTATCTACTTCATAAATTTCAACTCGGAGTACGTGCTGTAGTTTGAAGTTATTTAGCAAATTAGATGGAGTTTAATATTGGTATTAGTTCCTGACAAATGCTGATACCTCTTTATAACACTTGTAAAAGCAATTGAATTTTCTTCCTAATTTCGAGTAATTTTTATCAATCACTTTATTAATCCAAATCTTTATTTCAGACCTCATCATTGAACCGATATCTGCAAACTTTGATGCCCGGGTTGACTGCTAAAGTTTTCCGTACATATAACGCATCAATCACTTTGCAACAACAACTCGATACACTAACGAAAGGTTAGAATTTACCGGCTTACTCTGTAAATGATTTTGTAAAGATTTTCTATCTTGTTTCCTTGACTTTTTATAAATTTTTTTGGAAAATACAACGTGATTATTATTTTTAGATTCTAATGATGCGAATATTTTCTAATTCCCTTAGTAGGTTTAATTTCCAGATGATTCCACTGTGCCTGAATTACTGTTATGCTATAATAGGGCAAATCGACAAGTTGCAATTTTGTGCAATCATCAACGTGCAGTACCTAAAAGCCACGAAAAAAGTATGGAGAATTTACGAGCTAAAATAAAAGCAAAAAAAGTGGAGCTCAAAGAAGCAAAGGTTGGCTTTTCTTTAAAATTCCAATTTTGGATGATCACGTGTTCTAATTTTAGCCCTTTAATTTTTGCATTGTACATACATCTTCAGGAAGAATTGGAAAAGACTCGGGGAGATGCAGCCAAACAGCGTGCATCCAAACGCGTTGATCGAATTAAAGAACAATTAAGAAAGCTCAAGATTCAACGAACGGATAAGGTAATCACAGTTGGTGACCGAAGTTCTGACGTGCTTGAAAAATAAAATTATTTGAAAATAACTTTATTTTTTATGATTTGTATATCCATAGCAAAAGAGTAGAGTTTTAAAATTACGTATGAAGTTGTTTTCTAGGATGAAAATAAGCAAATTGCTTTGTCGACGTCAAAACTTAATTATTTGGATCCTAGAATATCCGTTGCTTGGTGCAAGAAACATCAGGTGCCCATTGAAAAGATTTTCAATAAAACGCAGCGAGAAAAATTTCGCTGGGCCATTGATATGGCAACGGATGATTATGTTTTTTAAGTTCACAAATCTTATTTTTTACTGTTCATCTAAAATCTACAATGAATTTGAGATTTACAGTTCTTATAAAAAATTGGTAGCGCAATTGCTGGTTTCTTCCAGTTTTTAAATACATTGTATTTTTATTCGAAAAAGTCGAAGTTATTAAGAAATTAATAGTAAAGACAAGTGTTTTTAGGAAGAAGGTCGTATGTTATTTGTTTTAAAATCATCCAGTAATGATATTTGATTTGTAATTCGTAACAATTTATTCACTATTGTAATTTTTTTTTCAACATTTGAACTGCGCTGTGCCCACTGCATCTTAGTCCACATTAATTGTAGGTATTAGTAATGGCTCAAAAAAAATGCATAGCTGCAAAAATGGAGCATTTGAAAATTTGCTTTAATTGATTAGTTTCAGTTTATAATTAATTGGTGAAGTTCATATATAATATATTCTTTTATTCTGAATTATGCACACAGGGTACTTATTTTATATCTGTTGTCCTTTTCTGTCGAAAATGAACGGAAGGAATATTTCAATGTATTCAATAGCTATGTAATTCCTAATGAATTTCACTAATATTCTCCATGTCATTTAATTTTTTGAGTTTGAAAGAATTTCCTTTGACTTGCTCATCCGTTATTTCTGCCAGTTTGCATCATGCATATTCGGACGCGTCGAGTTAGAGTGAAATATGAATTGATGCGAAGAATCTTATTATCGTCTAATAATTTCTTTCTGTATTATGGTTATGTACTTAGTTCTCAACACATTGTATGAATTAATTCCGTGACAATTTGATGCAGCTTTTGTTTGCAGTCTTTCGATTTAACAAACATTATTTGTGTATGTTGTGCTTGTTTACAAAGCTAAGTTGTGCTCGTTTATGTTAATGGTATGTATTGCTAGTGTAATTTATGTGTCAGAAAATATTTTGGGCAATCTGTCCTAATAGATTGGTTGTTTACATAGATAAATGGGCATAGTTCTGAATAATGTCTTTCTTTATTCAATTAATGATCTTTCTAATGAATATGCAGTTTTAATTTATGAATGACTGATATCCTCAGTAAAACATTCTTGTTTATGTTGACAAATTGATCTTTATGTTAATCTTACTCACAGGATGTCTACTACTAAATACAAGTTGAAAGATAACATGTGGTTCTAGTCTATATCCAATAAAATTTCCCTCTGTCTACCTTCATCTACTCCGTAGTTAGTCTTTTTAGTTGCAACATTATAAAATAAATATCATGGTCTTGTCTCGCACTTTTAATTATTTAATTTCTTTCCAGCGTGAAATCTCTGAGTCATGTCACTAAAGATTTTATCTTTCATTGCAGCTTATAATTTTTTGGAAAACGATATACTGCTAACCAGAAGTCTACATTTTTTTGCTTTCACTCAGAATCATTGCGAATCTAAGACAGCATCGGTGAAGAGGATCTATCCATTTGTGTCGTTGTTTAACAAAGTCCACCAATGGATCTCTGCACAAACATTCAAAAAACTACGGTTAGACTGGTTCCTTAGCTCCTTAAGAATTATGGTCAGAATTGTCCTACTTTACAAAGCAGAACAGAATTAGTCGAGTGCATGATTGGAAAGATGGTATATGTTGACTCTGATCAAATATCGTTGAATGTTGTTGGGATTCACATATCTGATTATCCAGTCTTTATAAAATACAGATGAGAAAAGTACATTAGTATTTGACTGCTGTTAACAGTGACCTGCAATGATGACAAAACAACGAGATGGACCTCAACTATTTTAATATTTACATATGAAATTCTATGGGACACTTGGAAGTTGCAGTTCAAAATAAAAATTTAAAGCACTTCGGATCCTTTTTTAGCAATTTCAGCTAATGAAGGCCAAAGATACATTTCTTATGAATTACGTGTGAACATCATCTTAGTTCCAACAAATTTGCATGAAAAATACTAACCTCTCAAACCCAGTTTTGATTAAGTGAATATATTAGGCCGAGACTATCCAAAATCAAAAATGAAATCAGATCATAGAGTCGAAATTGATTTCACTTGTATACATGTATGCCTAATGTATATCTCATAAAATACATGTCAGCTGATGGTGAAGACTGCTTAAAAATGTCACAAATAAATATACCGAGGGTAGAAAAAGCTGAATAATGCAATTATAAGTCAGCTATTTATGGATGAAGCCGGCACCAAAGACTTCAAAATATGCAAAATTGGAAAGCATGTATTTAAAAATTACGATATGGGTAATTACGACACCACGTGGGCGTAGAAGGAACTAACTTCTTAAATTATATCCGCAAATATTAATTATTCCTAACTCCTACATCCACTCCATGTATATCAAAATAAGAATAAGCCGGCCGTGCTATGCAAGCCATCAACTAATCAATACCTTAATTAAGCATTTTTCTATTTTGCAGTTACAGCATATATAACTATAAATGCAAACATACAAAAATCATCGCCAACCCTACATTCGTTTCTTCCTTTACTTCTCTTTTCACGACTACAATCTAAATTGACGTGGGGTCCAATACTGCAATTTTCACTTGCACGCCACAACCACCATATTTTGAAATGCAGACACATTTTCAAAAAAAAGTATAAGGCGATTCCTTTACGCCGTGCAGCTATCGAAATATATGGCTATAACAGAGAAAGAAGACAGTGATTACTACTAAATGAAGTAGTTCACATATAAGTGAAATTTAATGGTGAGTAACAACAGTGTTCGAGCACATCTTCATGCCTTTGTGTATTGCATCGAAAAGCGAAAAAATAATATTGGCTATACTAAGAGTATAGTAAGTCTGAAAGAAAGAAAACAAAAAACGAAAATTCATGCAAGCTGATAGTGAAAATTTCGACGGAAATTAGGATGAGTGCCGTTATTTCATCAAGAGTAAAAAACAAAAAAAATTAAATAAAACAGAATCACCAACTATTTTTTTCACTGACCTTACCCAAGACTGAATGAATTTGTTTTAAAAACCAACGGCAATGGCAGGAAAACAATAATGCATAAAAAGTAATCAATCAACAAATGTCACTATACAAATAAAGAAATCGTGCACATGTAACAGAAGAAACGGAAAACTGAGATCGTTATTAACCAGCTGCTAATTTACTGTGGAATTATTGAAAACTAGGAAGTTCTGTGCTTCGCACATCATTGTTGAGAGAATACAGAATACTGAGAGCCAGAAATCAAGCAGTCATTTATGTGGTAGCACTAAACTCGTGCTGGAGCGCTTGCAAATCATCAATCATTGTGTCCAAATTTTCCATCTGAGCATTTAATTCTTCAGTAGAAGTTGAAGCCTAAACTTGAAATTTATAACGAAAAATGAAAATAAGCTGCAAAATCGAATTCTGTGGAAATATAAATTTTGAAATTATTCAGTAATTATACTACCCACAAATGAACAATCGAGATTTAAGAGTATAGAATTTCAATGCTTATCAATAATACCTGAAGCGGTTGTGCTTCAATGCTGCCATTCTCCCGTTGGAGCGAGGTTTTTTCTGGAGCCGTGCAAGAGGAGTAAGGTGCATAAATATTATTTACGTTAACACGAGGTTGTGCAGCTGCACGCCCAACCGGAACATGCGATGATTTTTGGCCGATAACAACACCAGCTGGTTTGCCATTCCTTATATTTGGAGATGCTACAACTACAGGTCTCACCACGTTCGCTGTTCGTTCACTTGTACCTAAAGACTGATAAAAGTGTGAACAGAGCCATAATGCAAATCAAGGAAAATAATTCTTAGATAAAAATTAGATAAGATTCATTTGTCACTAGGTATAAAATAAAGAATATGAAAACGACATTTACTGCACCTTTTGTGGGAGCAATTGGTGGTGGTGCTCCTGCAAGTTGTGTGAATGATTTTAATGGATTTGAAATGACTGAAGTCCCCCGTAGCGTTCTGTAGGAGTCATTATTCAGCAACTGGGAAGGGGGAGCAACAGGAGGTCTCTGATTTGGTAATTGAGGTGGTGGTGGGGTTGGTGTGTGAAGTGCCTGCGAAGAACTGTACGCAGAACTATGATCAGAGAAATCGATTTTCGCTATCTAAAAAACATTTTCAGTCTAGTCCACCTTAATGCGTGCGTGCGACTGTCGTTGCTGTTAACTCTAAGAGCAGAGTAACACAATATTCTAGCTATATATGTAAAATATCTCAATGAAAGAAATTTTTGATCAGAAAGCGACAGAAATATTCAAAATAAAATAAACATAAATAACATGTGGAAGAGATGTATTCAGTTTTACGATATCGATGAAGCAGAAAGTATATTTGAAGTTCCAGGACTCTCAGAAACTCGAAATATAGCTAAATGCTAAATATTCTTTGAAGCATTTTTCAAGGGATACTAAGCTAGTTTGTGGCATAAATACAATTATTTTTCACGTTTTATTTTATACTTCAATATGTGATAAATAGAGTTCTTGTGAAATGTTTTGCAGTTATATGAACAAAACATACCTGATGCCTACCCGCATTTGTGTACATGATCTGAGGAGTTCTCTGTCGTCCTTCAAGACTAGTCGATGATTGATGATAACTCCTTGATAGAGTACCATTACCTGAAGATAATGCTTAATGAAAAGAATTGTTGAAAACATAGTGAGGAAATGAACTGCAACTTTTAGATTTATTAATCCAACAATGACATGAGGAGTGGCTGATGAGAACTTAACTTTCAAATGCAATACACAAATGTGATGCCCACTGACTTTTCCTAACTTCATACCAATTTCTACTAAAACAAAGACAGAAAGTTTTCATGTGTTTAGCTGCTTTGATTACACGTATTAGTGCTTCATATTATTTATGTAAATTCACGCAGTAAATTGTTAAGAACTTAATTTAATATAAGGAATGATGAGAAGTATTAACAAATGATCACAACTGCACGCATTTATAAAATGAGCTTGATGTGCAGATGATAACTAGAAAAATTCAGATTCCTTACAATCAATTTGAAGCTTAAACATATGTAAGGAAATATCAAAAAAGTGGTTACAATACCACGACAAACGTTTGAGAGGTAAGTAAGGAAAGCAAGCAAAGCGAAAAAATTTTTACAATAGGACTACTACGAGAGTAAAGTGATGTTTATCTGTTTGCTTTGCGCATTAATACAACAATACGAACTTACAATCACTTTGTGGGTGGACAGTGTAAGTAGAGATCGTTTCTGCCATCGCAATGGGTACACGTTGACTGGTATCATCATGTGCTGACTCCACCATCTGCGACTCGTAATTAGCAACAGTAAAATGAACTGAATTCCGTTCAAGTCCATCAGTCACTGTTAGGTCTGCACAATACGATAAAACACTTTCACAATATATTTGCATACTATAATCTTTCATATCTTGCACAAGACAAAAAAAAATACAGAATTTTGAGATGTACGTGTGCATGTGTGCAACCATGATTTGATGGATGAATTAGAACTACGTCGCATCTACATTTGTTATTATTAAAACGTATAAAAACGAGCAATAATTAAAGCATTATAATTGCAGTTATGCTTACAATTACACAAATACACTAACGAAAAGTGCATGCAGTAAAAAAAACAACAATAAAGGCACACAAAATGTGAAATATGTTTTGATAATAAAGACTTGAAAAAGAACAGTAAATGAAACTATATGATTAAGCAATTATATAATTGATGCAGAAGAAAGCAAAGCATGACCTTTCAAATTATGATAATGAGATGGTGGTGACTCGACCATTTCAACTTCACCTGAACAGTGATTCAAGTTATTCAACGATTCCGCGAGAACATCTTCAATCAATCCGTCTACAATTCTGCTTTGGATACCAGCTTTCAAAAGAATTAAACACTATCCGTTACTTTTGTTAAACAGTAAGTTATACACAAAGATAAGCTCCACAGACACATACCAACTAATCATAACTTGCTCGTGAAAGCGAAGATTATGCTGAACATTGGCATGAGCGCCTTAGATGCTGTTAAAAACAAATGAATTGCTTTTTAATTGCAAAAACTGCTGAGTTCCCGTTAATTTATTTAAATGTCAAAATAGAAGCATGAAGAGATAAGCAAAATGTAGCGTTTACGATTTGCATTCATAAATGTATGTTGGGACAATAAATCGAAAAGTATTAACAAAACAGCAATACAAAATAAATTGTTACTAAGTAGTATGCAAAAGGCACTTACCTGGTTCACGAATCTGCTGCCCTCCGCTGTGGTGATTTATCCATAAATCTGGTGGGCCTTTGCCATTTCCTATTTGCTTTCTTCCACGCATATAACCCGAAGTTGCTGACTGCTTTTTATTTTTTACTTTCATAAACCAAATCATAGTTATCAGTGATATTAATAACAAAACAATGACAGCTGTTATAATTGCCAAATACATTGGCGTAGTAAATAAACTCAAGTGAGCAGTACCCGAATTAGTGTCGAAGTTCTGAAACAATTTGCATTTATTCATAAGTGTACCTGCAATTGAATGACTTCATTTAAAAACTGTATACAGAGCAATATTTAGATACAGCACAAGTATTAATATCCCTGCTTTACTTTACAAATCACGATATTATAAATCAAATCTATCTATAAACAGACCTGAAATAACCTTGGAGGAGGTAAGTCAGGTCGATATTGCAATGTAGGAGACAAAGGACCATATCCTTTGATGTTACGAGCTTGAACTTTGAAAAAATATGTTTGCCGCGGTAATAAGTTGGTTAGCTTGATTGATAGATGGTCACCTTTAACTCCATCTAATATCCAGTCTTTGTCTGGAACTTCCAAACGATCCGAATAATAAACTAAGTATTCTGAAATCCGAGTAATATCGAATTTTTATCACCAAAAAATAAACCCTACTTTAGTCTAGTACAGTTTTCTATTATTCATATTCAAGAACGATCTTGAAATGCACAAATGTACTTCAGCCCATAACTGTTCATGTAAAAAACATTTTTGATCACATAACAAATATCAAAATATTTTTAGAGAGTATCTGGGAAATGACTTTCTACATCTGAAAGTATGAAGGATTTGTTATATACCTTCAATGTCACCATTTGCATATTTAGGAGGTTGCCAGTTTAGGATCAGCGTTTGCGGATCACCATCAACTGCCTGCAAAATGGTGAGATCACGTGGTGCACTTGATGGTGGGGCAGGAGCCGTGGAATTTACTGCAGTCATAGACCACATGGATGATGATCTGCAAAAAAATGATCTAATTTGCACTCAATAATTTTTTGTTGTTGAAAGTCTTAGAAAGTCAGAAGCCTCAGATTTTTGTTTTACAACATGATGAGTGGAAACAACCAAATTTCCTTTCATGATTAGCATGACACAATCATCATAGGCTTTCTTTGGTGTTCACAAGATAAGCACTCTTATTTCATATTGCACAAGGATCACTGGGATATACCGAACCTATGATTGACATATGAAAATTGCGCTAACACCATTTGCGCTACCTACTGCTTAATCTCAGTAGAAGAAAATTGAGTAAATATTTTCCTACAACAACTGATGTTTCTTTCCTGATTACTAAAAGTAGTTCTTGAAATTAGCACATGAACATCTACAAAACATTCTAGTTTAATTATGAGCTTTAAATAACATTCATTCCTCCCTCATTTTTCTTCTTTAATGAGGATAAGTCACCTGATATTGACATGAATAAGTAATATGCAAAAGCACCAAAATACATTTGAAAAGTAGTGCTTTAAACTTATAAAGTAAACATTACTGATTGAACGAACGCTGAGTACTATCAATTTCAATACCAAAAGTAGAAATCATGTACAAATGTAAAGATGATCTGTGCTCAGTAATACTTCGATTTTTGTTCTCAAATTAATACCTCATAAAATGTGAGCTATGTAAATTAACTCACAACAAATAAACATTTTGGTTGTAATTTTTGAACAGAAATAAAAACTGCAAACGTTTAACCATAAATTTTAAAAATATTATGGAATGCTCACTTTCCAGCATTAACTCGCACCGCAAATTCGTACTGAGTATTCGGCCGCAATCCATCTATCACCACTTCCATTTCTGATGTATTCACATAACGCTGCTGTCCGTTGTTATCGAGACTAAATTGTAAAAGACATTCCTTCTGGATTATAAAAATATTATTGACTGTTTATTAATTTGTCGCAATACAGATACTTCAAAAAATAAAGCTTCCTACACAATTCCAAAATTTGTTTTTATCCAATAAACTGGTAAAGTAATATTGCTTAAACTTAGAACCTGGAACTATATCGTATGGTATATTGTCTGGAGTAAGCTATATTCATTTCAGGATCAATCCATGTTACCCGAATTGATGATGACGAGAGTGTTAGTGCCCTAACTCCAACAGGTGTTTCACTTGGTCCAGAATCTTTATAATTCAGATGACCAGTTAATGAAGACTTCGAATTAAGTGAAAGAGTTCGCACTGTTTCATATATTGGAAAACCATCTCCCGCAGCGTTGTGCGCGCGTACAGAAATCACGTAATCACGACCTGGTCTCAGACCATTTATTGTCCAGTGTCGCAAATTCGCTGACACTTTTATCTGATTAACATCAGGAATACTGATTCCCCAACCAATCTAAATAAATATTTGAATTCGTCTAACATAATTAGTTTCGTGGTAATATCCTGCAATAATTATAAACCTTATAAGGTTTTATATATTTAGAAACATTATCACAGACATCTATCTGATGCTAAAAGTTATTTAACACTTTCATATTTCTATTATTGAACTCGAGAGTCTAAAATTTCCTTCCAATAAAATCATACTTTATTCCATGAATTCATGGCATAACTAAAACTTACAACATAACTCCGGATTTTTACATTATCATCCCTAGGTGGTAGCCATGACAGCTGAATAGAATCTGTTGATGGTTCCGCTTCTAAAGACAGAGGTGGCCCAGCTACCTGTCCTTCATCCTTGTCTTCTAATGGCGTTTCGACATGAAGCCATTCCGAATTTGGACCAGATCCATTCTAAGTAATATTTAAGAAATTTAAATGTTAAAATATCTAGAAGTAATAAGAAATATTTTTGTCGTTCACCAGAAAACTGTGTTTTTTTTAAATATTCAAAAGTGCTACAAGGAAGTATGAATGGACATAAAACAAAAACATTAAGACACAAAAATTTTCAGAAGTTTCATAAAAATAGCGTTTCAATTGTGTTTGTCTCTGAATATTTTATTTAATTTATTTTGCAAATTGAAAAAGACACTTGATTAACAGCTGCAATTCGAAGCATATACTGAGTACCAGGTTCCAAACCAGATATTGTGAACGAACTTGCATTACCATCAACAACTAAAGTGTTGCCTCTGGCTCCACGCAACTTTGTTTTGTATTTTATTCGATATCCAGTTAGAATGCCATTTCTATCTTCAACGGACAAAGGTGTCCACTGTATGTGAATGGAAGTGTTCGAGACTGCTTCAGCTCTGTTTTATAAATTATAATGCTTAACAGTGCTCAAATATATTTTCTAAACAAAGTGAATCATTTACATTTGCTTTTTCTAAGTAAACTAAGAAAGTAGAAGATAACTCAAAATAAATGAAAACATACTGAACATTGTCGGGAGGTTGTGAAGGCAAATCAGATAAGGTTCTCACAATAACTGATTCCGAACTTAGACCCGCCCCATTTACACCTTCTGCTTCAACTCGAATAATATATTCCACATACTTTTCCATCCCATGAAGAGTATAAGATGTTTTTTTCATCTAAAAAAACAGAAGCATAACAATAGTTTTGTTTCCACGGTAAAGACAAACGAAACTGGTCAACACGCAGACAATGTTTAAATTTTGCTCTAAAAAGTATCGAAAACAGAAACAAACCACAATTTGCGTTTCCTTTTCAGTTAGTTCGTGATCCTTTCTAATATAAAATAGTTTGTATTGTATGGGTGAAGGGCCACTAGCGCTGGGAGGTTCCCATGATACGTCAATAGTTTCTGGACTTAGAGCTACAGCACGAAGATTCTTCACTTTACCGGGAACAGCCTATAAATTTTTCATTCACAGATCGATACAGCTCACAGCTTGTCTGCACTGATTGAACTTACCACTGACTACCACTACTCATTAGCTTATATTGTAAAAAGTGTCATAAACATGAAATAATTTTGCCTGCCAACTCCGATAAAATATACGATATCAAAACACCTTTTCTTTCGGTGTTGTGATCTGGATTTGCGCACTTGACTTTCCCATACCTGCCTCATTTTCTGCAACCAAACGGAAAACGTAAGTAGTATTCGGTAGCAAAGGTGTCACCGTAAACGATGTTGATGATGAGTTTAACATTCGTTCCCTGAATGTTGCTTTATTTGTTTAAAGCTGAAGGCTGATGTATGAAGTAAAATATAAATAAATATTATGCAATAAACACGAAACTAGCAACAAATTCTTCAGAATCAGTTCGATTACTTCATCTTCTCCTGTGATTATTGAATCGAAGGATAACCTTAGAGAATCTTGTTCTTTGTAAAAAATATGGTAAGCTAAGACAGCTCCATGCCGCTGCAAAGGAGGATCCCACGTCAAAACAACAATACGACTTCCAACAACACTGGCTCGAATACCTAATGGTTCTGATGGCAATTTTGGCTGTCCACTTGAAGCAGCCATAGAAAATGAATCTGAAATTTTTGAATCGAATGCAAATATACTCTCTAAGAACATATAATTTAAAAACACACATAAAACACCCCATGTTTTGATGAAATTTAAGTCCGCTACTTTTTTTTAAGTTAACGAAGTTGAAATAAAAAAGGGCAATGTGACTACAGAAAAAAAGACCTTCAGAATTTTCGAAAACAGTTCTCCTATCACAATGAAATATCACATATATGGAGCAACATAGGAAAGTTATTATTTGGTTATAGTTAAAGATGTGAAAACAAAGACATAATTCAGGCTCACAGAATAAAAAAACGAATTAAAATTATGAATTAAGTACAAACAAGACCAAATATATGAACATGAACGAATATTAAAATGTTTCAAAATGAGTTAGAGTGAACGTAGCCATACACACACGCACACACAATCAAACAAACTCTTCTCACCAATGTCACTAATATTCATGACTTCTTTCGAAACAGATGTCGTGTCATTCATTGAATAAAACTTTAAAGCATAAAGTTGTATTAGTTCTTCTATAAAACAGTACTATTAATGCAAAAGATGTGCCAAAAAAATTAAGAGAGAAATTCAAAATATCTGAATGGGCGTGATATTTGATCATAGTAAACAGCTCCTAATAATGACTAAAAAATCTAAACAGAAAAGAGTACAACAATTCAGCCTGAAAAATGAATTCATACCGGTACTATCCACGACCAGCTGAGCATTCGATTGAGCAGACCCTGCATCATTTTCAGCAATACATTCGTAAACACCTTGATCATTTTGTACCAATCCAAGAATCCGTAGGCGATTAGCCTCAATCTGTTAAAAGAAACTTTTGTTATCATATATATATATATAAGAAAATATTTTTATGAAGGTTAATCTTCTTTTTTGACTTAAGTGATTCCGGCGTAAGATCGTATTGTTCCTGCCTGTACTTGTTTTGGACTCAGATTTATTGTGCTCATCGTTTTCGCTTTCCTCGTGAAATCCATAAACAGTACTGAAGGAGATGCTTTCGAGCGTCTTCTTCTGAACTGCCGATTGAATGCATACCCCGATGTGATCAGATATAATGATCGCGTAGCGTTTGTGGAAGTTTGTTACGATCCCATCCAGGGTTACCACATACGGATTTTGGTCCTGCATTTCATTGCTTTTTCTCGGTCTTGACAGCTGTCAACCTACCCTGACTAAAGATGCCAACTTCTATAAAGATTACTTCACGTCGATTCTTATCGTGTATCATGATATGAGGCTGATCCGCACTTATCTTTATAGCTGTTCTCATTTGCCTATCGACTCTAATCTTCACGTTTCCATTCGAGATGACCTCCTGAACAGAATGGCTTCGCATGACCGGGAACGTTCTCAGACCATACTTTTTGCCAAGCACAAATGGATGCATTGCAGGACCTCAGTTTGTCTTCCAGTACAGTAGTGATTTACCATTTTTTGGCACTATGGTCCATCGTCTCCACACGTTTCTGAAAAAGGAATGTTGAACACATTCCTTTTTCCGCTCCAAATATATCTCTATCTTGGAGGTAACAAAATCGTGCTTCATCGTGCGGGTAATATTTTTGGCCATATTTATGAGTGAGTTATGGACGAGATTTTATTCGTCCGCATCTTGCATAGCTTTGCATGATGAGTTGTCTTTCCTATTAAGCTGAACAAGAGCGTCTTCTAAACTGCTAATACGTTTTCGACGGCTGAATTTTCTACCTAGTCTTTAGACAGGGTATAAATAATTGATATAGATATATGCGATATCTACAAAAATATTATGTAGTTGGAGAAGCATAATCTTACTCCTCTAATCAATATCATTAGCTGGTCCGTTGGTAGGTACAGTTTTTCCAAATATTCAATTCAGGTTGGTTATGGATTCCGTATTATTCAGTAACTGTGGTATATAAGCTCTGAACTTTTCTGGTTCCAATCTGAGCAGCCCAATGTAATAGTTTATTAAACTTGTGGCGTGCTCATTCACAACTTATCGTCATTTAGTGCAGTTTTGGCTAATCACTCACTTCTCACTAAAATCTCTGCTCGTACTTTATCGTAGCTTTCACGGGTAGGTGCAGTAGTCCTGTCTTCTACTATTCCAAGGTACTTACACCCTTGAGCGCTTCCTTATCAGGTGATAGTGGCTGATTTTCCTTGATTCATTTATCTTCATACTACATCAAGAAATTTCTGAAACTCTTCGGTAAAACATTTCATGATATCCTTGTCAGTCGCAAAGATCTTGATATCATCCACAAACAACGGATGTTTCGTTAAGTGCATTTCTTGATGAGAGGAACCGCCACCTTTGGGAACCTTATACTGAGCCGATAACTCACGGGTCTATGCACAGGACGACTAACAATGAAGAAAGGCAATCACCTTGGAGAATCCCTCGTTTATTGTCTTCACCATTATAGTTTTTTATTGCTTTTCATGTACCCCACTACTTGGAGGTGATGCTTCTCAGAAACCTGCTGATCTACGATGTCATGTTAAGCCTTTTAATGCTTCTAATCAGATATCCGTGATTAACTGAATCAAGCGCATGTTTGATGTCTTGTTAAAGAAAGTAGTATAGGGTTGGTTTCCGTGCTCTTCGCAAACTACCAGGTTCACCACTGCTTGTTTCTTCGCACCTTGAACCTGGGTAACAGTTCTAATTAATTGTCTGCAAGCAGTTTTCTCATGGTTGCATCGAACTGCATGACGCGTGCCACACTTTTTGTTGTTG